ACAAATCAAAACCACACTGAGATACCACCTCACGCCAGTCAGAGTGGCTAAAATGAGCAAATCAGAGAACTCTAGATGCTGGCGAGGATGTGGAGAAACGGGCACCCTCCTACACTGTTGGTGGGAATGTAAGCTGGTACAGCCCTCTGGAAAACAGTGTGGAGGTTTTTCAAAAAATTAACAATAGAATTCCCCTACAACCCAGCAATAGCTCTGCTAGGAATTTACCCAAGGGATATAGGGGTGCTGATGCATAGGAGCACATGTATCCCAATGTTCATAGCAGCATTCTCAACAATAGCCAAAACCTGGAAAGAGCCTAAGTCTCCGTCAACAGACGAATGGATCAAGAAGATGTGGTTTATCTATACAATGGAATACCACATGGCAATGAGAAAGAATGAAATCTGGCCATGTTTAACAACATGGATGGACCTTGAGGGTGCTCTGCTGAGTGAAATAAGTCAGGCAGAGAAGGACAAATATCATATATTTGCACATATAGGAGGATTAGGAGGAACTTAATGGAGAACCATGGGACAGAAGAAGGGGAAAAATAGTTGGGGAGAAGGAGCGAGACAAACATGAAAGACTCTTGAATGCTGAGAACAAACTGAGGACTGATGGGTATGTGGGGGGGGGGAGGGAGGAGATGGGCATGGAGGATGGCACTTGTGGGGATGAGCACCAGGTGTTATATGGAAACCAATGTGACAATAAACTATTTGTAAAAAAAATAAATAAACATTAATAAATAAACATTAAAAAATTAAAAATAAAAAAATACTTAACAAAATCATAAAAAAAAAAAAAAAGATCCTGAAAATAGTAAAGGGCAAACAAGTCAGAGGCATCTGGGTGGCTCAGTTTGTTAAATGTCTGATTCTAGATTTTGGTTCAGGTCATGATTTCACAGTTCATGAATTTGATTCCCACATTGGGCTCCACACTATCCTGCTTGGAATTCTCTCTCTCTGCCCCTCCCCAGCTCGCTTGTTTGCACCCCCTCTCTCCCTCTCTCAGAGTAAATAAATAAACTAAAAAGAGAGAGAGAGAGAGAGAGAAAGGAAATAATTACCAGCCTAAAAATCTCTGACAAGTCATTTACTGAGATGTTAAACTCAGCACACAAAACCCCATTAGTGTCGAGAAACTGAAATTGATGTGGCTTTGGGACCTCAGAGGGCCAGGGAGATATGTCAAAACCCAGGTTCGCCGAAGGTAGAGAATCTGATAAACTAGTCCCCAGTTTAAGGGAGGATCTAAATCAGTCATTGTGCCTTTTGCTTTCTGGACTCGTAGTCCTTTTTTTTTTTTTTTTTTTAGCTCTCTGGTATTATATATTATTTCACTCATATTAATGACCAAACTTACACATACGAGTACAATAGATGCCCAAGAAGTAGAGACAATCTGAACAATCTTGCCCGCCATTATTCTAGTCCTTATCGCACTACCCTCTCTGCGAATCCTTTATATAATAGATGAAATCAACAACCCCTCTTTGACCGTAAAAACAATGGGGCATCAATGATACTGAAGTTACGAATATACAGACTACAAGGATCTGAACTTCAACTCATACATGATTCCCACACAAGAATTAAGCCTGGGGAACTGCGACTGTTAGAAGTCAACAACCGGGTAGTACTGCCCATGGAGATAACTATCCGAATATTAATCTCATTCGAAGATGTTCTACACTCATGGGCCGTACCGTCCTTAGGCCTAAAAACCGATGCCATCCCAGGTCGACTCAACCAAACAACCCTAATAGGCACACGGCCTGGGCTATACTATGGGCAATGTTCAGAAATCTGTGGCTCAAACCACAGCTTCATGCCCATTGTCCTTGAATTAGTTCCACTAACTTACTTCGAAAAGTGATCAATAACCATACTTTAAGACCACTGAGAAGTGGTCTAGATAACCCCACTTATTTGAAGGTGGTCCTACCCTGGTGGTGCCCTCAGGAATCTGGCAAAAGCAAATAAAAGACCTCTCTTGACAAAGGGCTATCATTCAAGATCTGTTATTATTCCCAGGTAATAGTCAAGTACAATTAGCATATAATCAAGGATAACCAGCACACAAATAAGGCAAGAAGAGCAAGAACCAGGGGAAATAAATAGGCAACAGAAGCAGGTGCACAGCATGTGAGGTACTGGAATTACTGCGAACAAAATATGAAACAATCATGGTTACTGTGTGAGAAGAGAGGGTTTTTTTTCTTTTTTTTTAAAAAAGCCTGAAAATACCAAGAGGGAAATCTAAAAAAATGATATAACAAATCTGAACAAAGACCCAAGTAAACTTTTAGAACCGAAAATTGTGATCACAAGCCAAAATTTAAACCTAATGTAGATTAGACACAGCTGAGGAGAGCATTCATTAACCGAAATCATCAAGAGTCTAGAAACAGAAGAGAAGGTAAAGGTAGAGTGAGAAGGTCCTACATTCTAACATCCCTTTATTTGGAATCCCAAGAGAAGAGTGAATGGGGCATTATGTGAATACATAATAGCTAAAAAAAATTTTTTTTTCCAGAACAGGTTTGGGATTCCCAAAGTCCACTGAATTCCAAATTGTATAAACACAAAGAAATCTACACCTAGCCATATTATTGAGAAACTGAACTGAATTTTCATAAAAGCAGCCAGAGATGGGTACACGGATCTCTATATTTTTTCCTGTAACTGTGTGTGAATGTATAATTATCTTAAAATGAAAAATTTAATAATTTTTTAAAAAAGAAGTCAGGGGAAAATAGATGTATCCTGAAAATGAGCCATAGTTAAACTGACAGCTGCCTTCTGAAAGGTAACAGCAGAAATCAGAAACCAGTGCATAGGTATCTCCAGTATGCTGGGAGAAATCAACCACCAACCTGAGTTCCACACTCAGCAAAAAGATCCTTTGTGAGTAAAGGGGAAAGAACGCATCAGTGAAAAGATGAATTCTGATCAGTAGGAAAAGATACAAAGGCAAACACATCCCATAAACTATTTGCCAGCAGTGGCGTCACATGCTAGAGACAAAAATAAACATGCACAAATAATCCAATGTCAGGTCATGATAACACATGTATCCTAGGCAGACAGTTGTATTTAGTGCTTAGCAGCAGCAACAGTTTTGCTCATTCACATTCTGTGGCAGACTTGGAAAGCATGCTTGCACCTACAACCCCAAACCTGCTTTTCCAGCATTTACTGGTGACCTCTTGACCTAACTAATCTCTCCATTGATTTCTTTCTGAGTGACTTTTATTGAAGCATCCATGGACAAAAGCACGTATCAGAAGTGTATACTCAATGAATATCCCATGCTGAGCACACCAGTGTGACCAGAATCCTTAATCCCTCCTCATGTTCCTTGCATTCCCTCTGTCACTAAGGCTACTAACTATCCTTAGTCCTTAATTCTTCTATTTAAAATAATTCTTAGGGGTGCCTGAGTGGCCTAGTTGGTTAAGCATCTGGCTCTTGATCTTGGCTAGGGTCTTGATCATAAGCCCCACATTGGGTTTTGTGCTGGGCATGGAGCCTACTTAAAAAATATTGGGGTGCATGAGTAGCTCAGTCAGTTAAACATTTGAGTCTTGGCTTGGGCTGAGGTCATGATCTCACAGTTCATGAGTTTGAGCCCCATGTCAGCGCAGAGCTCTGTCCCTCCTCCATTGGTGTGTGCATGCACTCTCAAAATAAAATTTTAAAAAATCTCATGTGGCTCAGTTGGTTGAGCGTCGGACTTCGGCTCAGGTCATGATCTCACAGCTCATGAGTTCAAGCCCTGTGTCAGGCTCTTTGCTGATAGCTCGGAGCCTGCAGCCTGCTTCAGATTCTGTGTCTTGGTCTCTGTCTGCTCCCTCCCAACCCCCACTCACACTGTCTGTCTCTCTCAAAAATAAATAACTCATAACTCATAATAAATAATTTAAAAAAACCTCAAGTGAATATTAGAAAAAAATGAAATGAATGTTCCCAGTGCTAAAGGCAGCAATATGTTCCATCTGAGAATAAGAACAAAAGGCTAAGGTATTACATATGTGATCTGTTGAAAGTAGCACTGACCTCTCTTTTCTTACATTTACCAGGTTAACTTTGAGGAATTTAAGGAAGGCTTTGTGGCAGTGTTGTCATCAAATGCTGATGCTGGCCCCTTGGATGAAGACAGTAGTTCCTTGGAATCTAGTAGGAGGACTTTCTCCACTTACTTTTTTTCATTATTTATCTTTTTTTCATTATTTATCTGTTACCTTCTAGAGTGTGGTATTCAGCCTGAAGGATGTTAGTAGATTTGAGAACTAAATCCTAACTCCACTCTCTGACTGCCAAGCTATGTGGACTGGGATGAGACGTTGGTTTTTATTCTTCTTCTGTTTCCTTTTTTGTACATAGTGTTGGAAAGGAAAAGCTGTATTGCTTTCCTTTACACATAGCATTCTGAATACTCCTGTCACTTCTGGTCACCAAATGTGCAGTAGTTTGTCACATACCAGGCAGTTCTCCAGCACCATGTAGATGTCCTTCATTGTAACTCAAACCTGACATTACCTACCTAGAGATAGCCTTAGTCCCAGAAGATGGCCCCCACTTAAGATGCCAGTCACAAGTCCAACTTGTCTGCTTCTGATTGTCTGTAAATCAGATTCCCAAAGCTTCTTCCTCAGGTTCAATTCATTTGTAAGAGCAACTCATAGAAATCAGGACAACAGTTTACTTACTAAGTCACCACTTTATTATAAAAGGATAGAACTTGCGAACAGCCAGATGGAAGAAGGAGGGGCACAGGGCAAGGTGTGGGGAAAGGACACAGAGCTCATGCCTTCTCCCTGTGGGCCACTCTACCCCAATCTCTGTGTGTTCACTCCAGAAGCTCTCTGAATCCCATCCTGTTGGGTTTTTATGCAGGCTTCATTATGTAGGCATGATTGATCAAACCACTGGCTATTTGTGATTGAATGCAAACTCTAGTCCCTCCCCCTTCCCTGGGGGTCACATTAGGGGCTGAAAGTTCTAACCCTTAATCACATAGTTGGGTGTCCAGGCAACCAGCCCCCATTCTTAAGGGCTTTCTAGGAGTCACCACATTAACGTAAACTCAGGTTTGGTTGCCAGGGATGGGACGAAGACCAAATACATATTTATTGTAAATCACAGTATCACAAGTGTCAAGTAATACTGTGTGCTGTTCTTACAGCATGGAGTGTTGACAAGATAAAGAAAATGTGGAGCAGTTGAAGTTTCAAGATTTGAAAGCTCAGTGCAGGCATAAGGTGTATCTAGACCACTGAGGTTGGCAGAACAGATAGGATGCTACCAGCCGTGGGAGGATCTGACCAGGGCTGGGAGCCATAGCATGACCAGCAGTCGTTTGCAGGTGTATCTTCTGTCAGGCAGGAGTGTTGTGCTATGATAACAGGCCTGATTAGCTTCCTGTCATGGGAATGGGGCTGGAGGGACAAAGATAGAATTTCCAAATGGAAGGGACATCCTGAGGGGGAATGCCCCCTGGCTTTGTTAATGGTCAGGAGGTGGAGGGAAGGTATGGAAAGAGGTCCACTCAGGGGCATGTAGGTTGTGGGGTGAGAGTCAGAAGATGGTGATGGACATTGTCATTAGTGCCTGCTTCATTGGACTTCAGGCTGTGAATGGCAGCCACCTGACGTGCTTTGGACCCATCTTGCTACCTGTGTTGAGTACCTGGGCAGTGAGTGAAATAAGACATGGGGCAATGCGTTTGAGGTTGGAGGCGTGGTATTGATGAGATTGAGGAGGGAGCTCTTTCCTTCTGGTCTGCAGCAGGCTCCTCCCACAGTGAATCCTCCTTGGTCTGGAGCAGATACATGACCAGATAACAGGGATAATAAGAGGGCTTGAGGCAAGGGAACAGGAAGTGGAAAGGATGACAGCTCACATCGTTTATCTTCAGTGTGCCAGGCTCCCAGAATCCTGTGGCATTATCATACCCATTATTCACATGAGGAACTGAGGACTGATGTGTAAAGGGATTTATTTGTCTAAGATCCCACTTGGATCTTGGAGCTGAGGCCAAGATTTGAGTTACAGTTTTCCACTTGTTAGCACCGGACCTTTGTAAACACAGTATAGCCAGAACCCTCTCCTTTAACTGACTACTGAAGGCTACAGGGCACCTGGGTATGGCATAGAGAGCCCTGTATGACCGCTGGGGCATTCGCAGGTCACTTTGTCTGACACTGTTCTTCTGTAAGGGGGGAAAACGGTCACAGGCCTTTACTAACACAAGATTTGGGAATGTGGCATGTAATCCTCGATAGGAATGGAAGGGTGATGCCTCGTATCCCTGACATTGTATATGCCCCTCCCATGCTAGAGAAAGTGTGGAGCTTCTAAACTTAAAACTGGATCTTTGTCATGCACTCAGTTTCTCCAAAGAGACAAAGAGCTATTATTCTAGGACTTGTGGATTTTTCCCCCCTTTTGTTGTTGGGTTTTTTTTTTTTTTTTTTTTGGCTTTTTCTTTTCTTTCATATTTCAAAGCTGTCCTCGATTAAATGGTCATATGTGTGTGGCCTGAGACTCCTTCCCTTCATGGCAGCTCAAGGGGGCCTCAGAGCCCCTCTGATTTTTCTGTGCTCGGTTTCCCAACTGTGCCTCAACTTCACATTTTCTGCCTGATACGACTTTCCCTCTCCCTATACTCACTGAAGGTGGAAGGTAGATTCTTCTCCCACCCACATTAGCCAGCCCACAGCCTCTCTGTAACCAGAAACGATGTTCATATGCAAAAGCTTGAATTCACTGACTCTCGTTTTGGCAGCTCTCTGGAGGGAGTCTTTCTCCATGTTTGTAGTTTGCCCCTTCTGAACACTGCTGGGTTTGCTCACTCCTGTTTTTCTCTCTGCTGGCTTTGACACTTTGCCCTCCTCTTCAGTACATCACATGCCTGTTGTCCCAGGGTGATTGGTATAATTTACGATTACCTCCAAATATTCCAGTGAGGTGAGAAATGGTATAGTCACCCTGCATATTGTCATCTATCTTAAATGTCATGCTTTCACTTCATAGTCTGAATATCCCACGTGGAACCTGGCATCTTCCTCCCTAAAACTGTTCCCTTGTTCCCAGTATCTGTCTGTCACTGGCATCAGTTTGCTTTCAGTTGGCCAGGCTGGATCCAACCCCTTCCTCTGATGTGACCTCAAGGTCAGGGGTCAGGGGTTAAATTCAAGGGGATGGAAGAAAAGAATGATGTGGCATTTGACTTAAAGGAGCATGACACCTCTCAGTGAAATGCTCAGTTTTCCTGGCCTGGCCTTACTTCATTGAATCCTATGCTTTTCTCTCCAATTGGCCCATTCTGGTTGCTTTTTCTGAACCTATGTCGTGTCCTGGCCACTGCTCATCATACCCTCTCCAAGTCTGTCTCTTACTCACCCAGATTCCACACAGAGTCAGTGTCATTTCTTCTCTGCCTGAGAGGTCCTAGCTGCTCTGTACAAATGTGAACAGGTAAGGAGGGAAGAAGGAAATACAGGGGGTGTTAGGGTTTAAGAGATTCTCATGAATCCCACATTAAAAGCCATGCCTCCCTTTGCCCCAGACTTTAGACCTGCAGAGTTTGAGCCTCCCTTGGCTGTGTCTGAGGTCTATGCCCACAGCATCCTGACAGTCCTGTCTAGATAGGGTCCTGAAGTGAACAGGATAGGAAGTGACCTTCTGGTCTCTAGAACAGTATATTGCTGGAATATTGGAGGGTTTTTTTTCTTTGTATGAAAAGCTATTAGTGTTAGTCTCTTACTATATAAACAAAAAGTCTTTTTGTATTAGTAGTAGTCTTTTACTACATACAAAAGCAAAATGCTGGAAAAATTCAAATAGCACATAGAGTTTAGAGTAGAAAGTCCCCATCTCCCAGCCTGGGTGTCTCAGTTCCCTGCCTGAGGAATAAATTGACCACTATTAACTGCTGTCTGTGTTCTCCCAGACATTTCTGTGTGCTTCTATGCGAGCTGCACTCTGCATCTTGAAATGTGTTGCTGCAGTGTGCACAGACCACTCACTCCTGGCCCCCCACCTCAAATCTCATATTTTCTTTCCAGCTGCCTCGCGTGCTGTCCCACCAAAGTATGTGAGCGGCTCTAAATGGTATGGTCGCTGGAGCCACCCTGAACCTGAGCCGTGTGGCTCTGCAACTGGAACCAAATGTTTAACAGAACAGCAGACCGGGGCCACTGGGAGAGGCCAGCTCCACCGTGATGCATCTCTGGAAAGTGTGGAGGTGGGTCAAGTTCCTCCCTTCCTCACTCCAGACCACCATTTCATTTAGTCATTGTGACATGGCTACAAGAGGATGTGAGGGCAGGTGGGCACTCCTGGGCATCTCAAGCTGCCAGAAGCAAGGGTACAGTTTGGGGATGACATTTTGTTTTAAAGTCTGGGGTGCCTAGGTGGCCTAACTGGTTAAGCGAATGACTCTTGATTTTGGTTCAGGTCATGATCTCACAGTTCATGAGATCCAGCCCCTTGTTGGGCTGCATTATGAATGTGGAGTCTGCCTCTCTCTCTCTGCCCTTCCCCCGCTCATTCTCTGTCTCTCTCTCAAAATAAATAAATACACTTAAAAAAAAAAAAAAAAAAAAAGAATTGTTAAAGTATCCCTGCATCTGTCTGCAGGGAAATTCTGGCCAGTGAGCATACTCCTTTGAGACATTAGAGCAGTGAAGAATTCGTGCTAAAAAATCACTTGTTTCTTTCCCTCTCCTGCTTATCCCCAGCTTTCCCCCACCACTGTGAGAAGGAGGGTTTTTATGGTTTCATAAGAGTGAGAAAAGAAAGGAAGATGCCTTTCTGGTGCCCCTGTAAGGTTAGGAATTTGGAAGTGCCAATAGGCCCATGGTCCCACCTGCCTCGAACACTTAAAATATACTAAGAATATACCACTTAACAGTTTCTCAAAGATGTGCCAGAGACCTCCCAGGGCTTTGAGGATTGATTCTAGCCCCCCATGTCCCTGAGTTGTTTACTGCTGCCAAGACAACTCAGAAAATGGACTGCTGGAGCCTCATAGCCTTCATGTCAGGAACTATCCATGGGGCAGATCTATAACTTTCAAGTTAACTGTGGACTCCTTAGATTTATTGTCAAGAATTCCAGAAGTTCCTGGTTTCTACTCTCTGTGATGTCCATTTCATCAGAAGGGGCTTTATTGGGACTTATCTTCAATAATACCCTCACATTACTTTGATTATATGTTCAACATTTGTTGAGGCAAACATATCTGTTTAAATCCTAGAGTCCATTTGCTCAGGGACATGCTATGCCTAGGTAATACCAACAAATCCCAGACATTCACTATTTTATCCTCTTTAACTTTGGTCTGCAGGGATGGAGGTCTAAGGAGTCTGCTCTATCTCCATTATACTGTTCTGCTTATTAAAACCATCTTTGATCCCTGGAACTAGAACATGGAGGAATGCTGTTTTTATGGTTGTTGGTTGGGCTGAATGCATTAGAAAAATGGGACATACCACCTGCTCCCAGACTCCACTCTCATTTCAGTGCTGGCATGAAGGGTGCTAAGTCTTGGTCAACTTGGCATTCCTTTCAGAATCAGATGTGGGATGCATAACACCTGTCAGAAGCAGACTTTGACTTTGTAGTCAGCCAACTCAGCCACAAAAACATGAGGTTTGTACTTGAGTCAAGTGTTTCTTGATGGCCTGCTCCCTTCAAGGTACAGCTTGCAAAGAGCACTGAGGAGTCAGTTCTTGCTATGTATCATGCTGTCCCTGGAGCTTCTGGAGGGACAGAGAGAACTACTCTCCCTCCAACTGTGTGCTGAACTGATCTGGATGATAAGGGACAGGGTGCAGAGAGGTGAGGACCATCAAGCTTGAGTCAAGATAATGTCATATGGTGGAAGATTGACCATTCTCTACAGCCATTCTTCTCCAGTGCTGGTGTTTGAAGCCAGCGCCACAAGGAGGTGTTGGTTTGGGGAGCATTTTTCTTTACTGTTAGGGTACAAGTGCTTGTTTGTGTTTTTAGTGTTAAGTACTGATGACTTTTGGTTTATGATGAGGAGCCTCATGTGTCCCTGTATCTACATTGTAGCACTTGGTCTATGAAAAGGAGCTGTTCTGTGCCAGTGGCTCACAGCCTGGGTGCAAAGGCTACTTGCAGGTGTGGGGTTTTGCCCGAGGAGCTGCATCTCACCAGCTGTTGGTCCTCTTCCTCAGTCCCTACCTGGCCCTAAAATATATCCTTCTCTTTGTTTGTCCACAGAGTCTCAAGTCAGACGAAGAAGCTGAAAGTGCTAAAGAACCTCAGAAGGAGTTGTTTGAAGCACAAGGTAAAGCCATATACTCATGGTTGATGTTCCCTATCTTTGACTAGTGCTTTGAAGTTCAAGGAGATGGCTTGTTGGTCAGTGAGCCAGACGTGTTAATTTTCTGGGAAGGATGCAGAGTGGGTGCTATATCTGGTGGTCACCTTCTCCAGAGGTGGTCCCAGCTGGAGGTGGTCACTTGGTACTCAGTATCCCCTGAGGTCAGACCCTTGGACAGAGGCTCCTGGCCAAGGGAGCAGGATGGTTGGGCCACGTCTCACAGTCTGTGAGGACCAGTGTGACCCCAGATAGCAGGCATGGCCTTGGAGTCCCAGGCCTCTTGCACTCCTTTCCTTTTTTTTTTTTTTTAATTTTTATTTAATTTATTTTTTAAATTTACATCCAAATTAATTAGCATATAGTACAACAGTGATTCTGGAGTAGATTCCTTAATGCCGCTTACCCATTTAGCCCAACCCCCTCTCCCACAACCCCTCTAGTCACCCTCTGTTTGTTCTCTATATTTAAGAGTCTCTTATGTTTTTTCCCCCTCCCTGTTTTCATATTATTTTTGCTGCTCTTCCCTTATGTTCATTTGTTTTGTATCTTAAAGTCCTCATATGAGTGAAGTCATATCATATTTGTCTTTCTCTGACTAATTTCACTTAGCATAATACCCTCTAGTTCCATCCGTGTAGTTGCAAATGGCAAGATTTCATTCTTTTTCATTGCCAAGTAATAGTCTATCATATATATATACCACATCTATTTTATCCATTCATCTACTGATGGACATTTGGGCTCTTTCCATACTTTGGCTGTTGTTGATAGTGCTGCTATAAACATTGGGGTGCATGTACCCCTTCAAAACAGCATATGTGTATGCCTTGGATAAATACCTAGCAGTGCAGTTGCTGGATTGTAGGTAGTTCTATTTTTAATTCTTTGAGGAACCTCTGTACTGTTTTCCAGAGTGGCTGCACCCGTTTGCATTCCCACCAGCAGTGCAAAAGAGATCCTTTTCTCTGCATCCCCGCCAACATCTGTTGTTGCCTGAGTTGTTAATGTTAGCCATTCTGATGATGTGAGGTGGTATCTCATTGTGGTTTTGATTTGTATTTCCCTGATGATGAGTGATGTTGAACATCGTTTCATGTGTCTGTTAGCCATCTGGATGTCTTTGGAGAAATGTCTATTCATGTCATTTGCCCATTTCTTCACTGGATTATTTGTTTTTTGGGTGTTAAGTTTGATAAGTTCTTTATAGATTTTGGATACTAACCCATTATCTGATATGTCATTTGCAAATATCTTCTCCCATTCTGTCAGTTGCCTTTTAGTTTTGCTGATTGTTTCCTTTGCTGTGCATAAGCTTTTTATTTTGATGAGGTCCCAGTAGTTCATTTTTGCTGTTTCCCTTGCCTTTAGAGATATGTTGAGTAAGAAGTTGCTGTGGTTGAGCTCAAAGATGTTTTTGCTTTATTTCTCCTCTAGGATTTTGATGGCTTCCTGTCATATGTTTAGGTCTTTCATCCATTTTGAGTTTATTTTTGTGTACAGTGTAAGAAAGTGGTCCAGGTTCATTTTTCTGCATGTTGCTGTCTGGTTTTCCCAGCACCATTTGCTGAAGAGGCTGTCTTTATTCCATTGGATAGTCTTTCCTACTTTGTCAAAGATTAGTTGGCCATATGTTTGTGGGTCCATTTCTGGGTTTTCTATTCTGTTCCATTGATCTGAGTGTCTGTTCTTTGCACTCCTCTCTTAATGTGCCATGCCTGGGTGCATGCCCTTCCTGGCTGTGTGCAGTCTTGGCAACTGCCATTGGCTCTGTGTCTGCGCTCCAGATAAAATAGCAGATATGGTCCTCAGGAGCCTTGCGGGGGCAACTGGAAGGCAGGAGCAGGTGTACATAAGATAGCACTGTGCCCACATGTGGGTCTGGGGATGCTTTAAATATGCCTCCCACACAGAGCAGAAAATGCAGAAACTTGACTTGGAGAGGCAGACCACAGTTGACTTTTTGAATTTCTGCTGCAGTAAAAAGTTAACAGTTGGAACTGAGCATACTCTAGATATGGTCCTCAAGGATGAGGGCCATTGTTCAGTGTTTAACTCAGTGGATATCAGGGGAACTGACCTGAGCACCCACCTGGGCTGCTGTACAAAGCACATATATCAGGAAGAGCAGCCAAGTGATCACTTCCTAACCATCTTGGTTTCAAAGTGTAAATCTGTGGCAGGAAATGAAAGGCTCTTGGGGAAGGTAGTGTGTGGTGGAATTTTGGGTCTCTCCGCCTGCAGTTCCACTGGGTTAGTACTGACAGTAGTGCATGAAACTCACATCAGAACTCAGAGGATTTATTTATCTCCTCTGCTATTCCTAAGAAATAAACCCTAGTATCATAGGTGCTTTTATGGTTTTTTTACAAATTTCAGACACTTTAAGCTAGAAGGGATCTCCAAAAAGGCATTTTCCAGGGTGCCTGAGTGGCTCCATCGGTTAAACATCTGCCTTTGGCTCAGGTCATGGTCTTGCAGTTTGTGAGTTCAAGTCCCACGTCAGGCTCTGTGCTGACAGCTCAGAGCCTGCTTCAGATTCTGTGTCTCCCTGTCTCTTTTCTCCTTCCCTGTTCTCTCTCTCTCAAAAATAAACATTAAAAAAAATTTTAAGGCATTTTCCTCAACCCAAAACAATGCTTTTCATGAGCACACAGGGCTGGCTTTCCTCAGGAAAAGTGACTTCTCTTATTCTTAGTTGGGTTATCAAAGTAATTAATGTCAAGGTGGCCCATCTACCCAAGCTGCTGACAGGGAACTCTAGTCATGGGAAGTCTAAGCTGCCTCTCTCTGTGTCAGGCTGGGTGGTGTGGACTGACTATGGAGGGGATTTCTGGCTTGAAGCATGGCTCATCCATGATGGCTTCTCATGGGCATCCCCAACGTCTGTCTATTCCATAAGTTGTTTCTCTGGCAAAGCTCAGAATCCTCAGTTTCTAGAAATTGATTTTTTAAAAACTAGGTTGTTTTGCTTTGTTTTGTTTTGTAAATACAAATAATGCAGCCCTCTTCCAGTGGTCTGACTTTAGGAGGTTCCTTTGAGAAAAAGCTTTCCCCACATGGACCAGAGATTCCTCCCACCCCCACCTACATTTTATTATGAAAATTTGGATATATAGAATGAAAGTGAAAGAATCGTATTGCGAATGGCCATGTACTCATCACCTAGATTCCACCTGTGATGCTTTGCTACTCAAGTGTGTCCATCTGCCCATCTGATTTCAGAGTCAGTTGCCAGCATTGGTATATTTCCCACAAGTGCTTCCACCGGGAGTGCCAGGTTTACCTCTCACTCTCCCTGCTTTAGGCCAGCTACCAGGTTGGGGTTCCGAGGTCTTCACATGCCTCCAGAAGCCCTGCAGCCTCTCCTTGGACACCCCTCAGAGCCGGGTTCAAGACATCTGGGAAGAGCTGGGTGTTGGCAGTAGTGGCCACCTCAACGAGCAGGAGTTGGCTGTAGTCTGTCAGAGCATCGGACTCCAGGGACTGGAGAAGGAGGTGAGAGGATCTGAGGTGGACCACACTCAAGGACAGCTGCTTTGCGGTAGTCAGGTTGGTGTTGGGTCTGGAGAGTTTCTTCACCCCTCAGACATTGATGTGGTTGAACCACTTTGTGGTCTGAACTCCTCTGGTAACTCCCAGTGCTGCTGCTGAGGTCTGCACCCACACAGGTCAGACATGGCCCTGAGCCAGCTTCTGAGCACCTTCATTCATAACCCTTCCTCTGCCCAGAGTGCCCTTTCACCTTCCTGCATTTCCCAGTTCTACTGCCCAGCCCAGATGTTATGCCCTCTGAGGCAGGCTACACTCCCTTGCAGGGCCAAGGGGATGGAGGTGGGCAGTGTTGATGTGATGGGGAAGCACCTCCTTGCTAAAGTCCCCCTTAGCCCTGCTGTCCTTGATGCTCCCTGAATTGCTGGGGGCCGAGGGTGCCCTCTGTATGTATGTCTTCTTCCTGTCATCCAGCAAATTCCTTGTACAGTAGATTCTGAATGGGTATTTATGGAATTAGGAAGTGCAGGTGGCGCCCATTCACAGTAGGGTGGAAACTTGTATAGATGTCACAAGACAGAGCCGAGGGACATTAGGTGTGTCCCAGAAAGTTTGAGTTTGGAAAGGACAAGCAGACGGTCCCTGGAAGGCCTGGGTGGTGGTGACTGGCATGCAGCTGTTTGTGGGTGGGGCCTCAGCACAGGTGTGGTGGCTTTTGTTTAGGAACTGGAGGACCTGTTTAACAAACTGGATCAAGATGGAGACGGCAGAGTGAGTCTTGAGGAATTCCAGCTTGGTCTATTCAATCATGGGCCCACTTCACTTCCAGAGTCTTCCACTCCCATCAAACCGTGCATGTCCTGGTCTCATTACCAGGTAAAATGGGATGATTAAGCCTTGAATCACAGGAGCAGCTGCTGTCACTCTGACCTTCAGCGTCTTCACAGACCTGGGAGTTGGTGGGGATATGTACACATACAAGTGTGTGAGTGGGAGGCCATGTGATTTAGATTCTAGAACCACATAGGTCTTCTGCTAATCTGGCATTGCCCCTCCCTAGCTGTTTGTCCCTGAGTGAGTTACTTGCCTTCTCTGAGCCTCAGGGTCTTCATCTGTAAAATGGTGCCTACCTCTTAGGGGTTTTATGAGGATTACATGGCAGTTCCTCGATTGTCTCCTCAAGAAGCCTCTCTCAGTGTACCTTCCATCTCCCTCTCTCCTCCCCATTGTGGTACAGTGAGAGCATTCTGTACCTTCCCTAGGAGTAGCTACCAGGTACTCGTTTCCCTGTACTCTTCCCATCCCGTGTTCCTGAATTTTCTCTCTCATATAAATACCAGGTCTCTGAAGATGGAGAAGAGTAGATTTTAGAAAGTTATTTAATTTTTTTTAGTGTTTTATTTATTTCAGAGAGAGAGGGAGATACTGAATCTGAAACAGGCTCCAGGCTCTGAGCTAGCTGTCAGCACAGAGCCTGATGCGGGGTCTAACCCACGAACCATGAGATCATGACCTGAGCCGAAGTCAGACGCTTAACCGACTGAACCACCCAGGCTCTCCATTAGGCAGATATTTAAGTTGTGATCTTGTTTAGTGACCGTTGGCTTAATATTTGGGTTCTCCCCACCCCAGGGTAGGAGAACCTCCCTCTTCCATCGCAGGGCATGGTTCTCTGGGAGGATTCTTGCCAATGCTTCTCTGCTGATGTGGCTGATCCTGTAGTTTGTAGGTGGCAGTGCAGGATAAGTAATGTTCTCTGCTGCACTGGGTATAATCTGAGAGTCCTGTTTTTTTAATTGGAACCTGATGAGAATGGACAGAGAAGAAACTAGGAGTGTTAAAGGAAAGTGTCAGGCCATGTAAGGTCAGAAGCCACAATGAAGTTCCACCAAGTCATGCTTGGAGCCAGTGGAGGGAGGGTGCCTCCTCTGTGGTGGAGCTGCCCTTGTTCCTATGTCCCATTGAGGAGACACAACTGGACAGGGCTCTGAGCCATGGAGTGCAGGAATGAGGCCAGGAGGACCCACCTCTAGTCAGAGGCAGGTGCTCAAGGAACACCTGACTGCCCAAGAAGTGCCCTGAGCCAACACAGCCATACATAGAGGATGTTGCATCCTGTGTGTCTGTACTCTGGCGTGGCATGGTGGTGCTGGGCCCTGAGGTATGTGACCCAGCCCCCACCTTCTCCTGCTACACCATGATATGCCTGTCCCCAAGCTCACAGTCCTCACAAAGGAAGCGGTTGGGAGGGAGACAAGGGTGATCTGGGTGCATTTGGGTATCTGAGCTTCTCCACTGTGGCCATGGCTACATTTCTGACCATTCTTGAGCTGTCCTCTCTCCTTTTGTAAATGGGGTCAAATGCCTACTTTGTAGGGCTATAAAGTACCTAGCACAACTTAGTGAGCACCCAGTTCCTAAGTGTTTATGAAGAGAGAGGGATATGGCTGAGAATAGATGAAAGAACATGGGCCTGTGAGTACCTGATGAGGTAGTGAGTGCCAGGAGGGGAGGTGCTGGGCTGGGAGCGGGCATCAGAGTGGAGCCCTGGAAAGTTTCTAACCATGGAAGCATTGGGGGAAAGTGTTTCAGGCAATGAGAAAAGCCTGGAATGTTCGGGAATAGCAGAGACTCCTTTGAGGGGAGTTAAGAGGAGGCCAACAAGGAGGGGGTTCCTAGGGGTGTGGTGGGAGCCCTAGTGGCCAGAAGAAGGGGGCTGTTTTTCCTTATTCCTATAGCCCCAGACAGCAAATGATGGTTCTGAAGAGAATGCCAGCCTGGGGCAGAAAGCAGTCTTACTCGATGGATTCTCATAGCCCCTAAGCCTAACAGGTCAGCTTTCTGGCCAAGAGATTTCTTCCCCTTCCTCTTAAAACTCTTTAATTCTGTCAGCTATGAGATGTGTTTCTGAGGCCTGAGGAGATATGTGACTTTGTTTGGGCCTCTTCTTTCAGGATTGTCTTGGGTTTCTTTCCACAGGCTAGATTTCTGAGCATTGGCATGACCTTCTTTGACTTTGTGAGGCTGGTGCACACCAGTACTGGTTTGGGGGAGAGAGGTTAAAACCATGTCATGCCTCCCACTAAGAAACTCTTGCTGACATGTCAGGCCACACGGGTGTTGGGATATGTTTTTTGGGCCAGGCCTCAGTTAGACATTAGAAAAGCAGGCACCAGAGTCTTAGAGAAGGCAATAGGCTGGGTGTCCAGAGCTCTGGGTTCAAATCCCCACTTTGCCACTTGCAGAGCTGTGCAGTCTTAGGCACACAGTATGATAGTGCCATGCCTTTGTTTACTAGTCTGGGAGACAGAGCTAATTGTCACTGTGTGAGCTGTTCTTAACAGGCTTCAATGAGACAGTAAAAGGTCGAACACAGGCTACTGAGGTTGGAAAAGATTAAAAACAAACAGGAGACACAAGTGCTCACAGGCACCTTCACTTTCTCTGCACACAGGTCTTGGAGGACGGCGGCTGCCAGACTGCCACGACGTCATCCCTGGTGTCCATGTGCTCAGGCCTGCGCCTCTTGTGCAGTATTGACGATGGCACCGGCTTTGCCTTTCCTGAGCAGCTTATCATGCTGTGGGCCCAGGAGGGGATTCAGAATGGCAGGGAAATCTTACAGGTCTGGAACTGGTCATACATGGCTGCCCTGGAGGAAACATCTAGGCAGTGTGGGGCCGGCAGGGGACCTTGGGGCCCTTTGCTCTACAGATGAGGCTGGACAGAGAATCCCACAGACACACAGGGCCTGTGCTCTATGTGGGGAACCCAGTGTAGGAAAGGCTTGTTAGAATCACTTTCCTCTTTATTTTTTTGCTATTAATATACAGGAAATTTTAACTTAAAAATAAATAGGCAGAGAAAACAAATCTGAAACAAATCCATTTGAAGGTAGGTTTTGGTATCTTAGACATTTCCCTCAGTGCATTGTCAGCCTTGGAGATGTTCTGCTTACCTGGACGAGGGAGGTCTGTCCCAGACAAGGGGAGGAAATTTCCTTCCTTGTGGTAGAGACGTCTTACTGAATGTCACTGTCCCACTAGCCTGAGCTTTTCCATTTTGTGCAAGACTAGCTCCATATAGTAAACCCAAATTCCTCCCAGAGCTGCTCCCTGGCTGGCCAAGCTCTTCTTCCTCCATAGCCCTTGCTTGCCCAGACCCACTCCTCCACCAGGTTGGGTGTAGAGGTGTACTGCCCTGTTGCCTCCTTCCAAGTTCCTGCATGCTCTTCGTGGGGCTGGCCCACAAGACTGTCAGGCGTCTTCTGGGGGCCAGTCCAACCTCCCCCAGGAAAACAGGGCCAGACCATTGGGGTTTGGAAGGAGCTTGCTCTGTGGCAGCCAAGTCATGTGTGCACAGGGGCTGGACAAGGATAAGAAAAGAGCGCTGGGGAAAAGTGTGTGTGGTACTCTGACTGCTGATCTTCATTTCCAAATTTCACTTTGTGTTGTAAAAAAAAAATTGTCAACTGTACAGAAAATCATAAAGTAATAAAGCTTGCCCCCTTTTGCTCCCGTTCTATAAGAGTAGCAACACCTCATGGCTTAGTGGAAGTTTCTGCAGAGCTTTTCCCCAGCACAGAAAAGGAATATATATTTGAACATTCCAGCTCTAAAAATTTTTTTGCAAAATTGGTATACAGTATATCTTATTAATTTAGGTCACCTTTTTCCTCTTGTTGGACATGTAGATTTTTTTTCTGTTCTAAATCTTGGCATTAAAATGTACATATATTCTCCTGTTCCTATGTTGATATTTCTTGGTAGGCTAGATTCCTGAAGTTACACATTTTAACTCTTGGTAGGTTTTTTTATATTGCCTCTCAAAATGTCCTTCTTACTACAAACTAATAGTTCATAGAAGAGCCCAGTAACAACCTTTAGGATAGTCCTCCCGACACCTTGGGCAAGTCCCTTTTGGGCCTAGCCGTTGCTGAATGTGGCCACCCAGCAGCCTGGGCAGAGCCTGGACAGCAAGGCCAGCACTGGGCAGCTGGCTCTTGGGAAAGCTGGAGGCTAAGCCCTTGTCACTGGATTGGCCCCCTGGGAGGGCAAAGGGCAAAGGGATTCACAGTTTTGAGCTTCTCCCTGAAACTGTGTTAGTGATTTCCTGTCATTTGGAGGTGGGCTGTCTGCCATTATAACCTGGTGAGTCTCGAATTTGCCTCTGATACTTCATAATTTACCCTTTTTATTGCTTTCCTGTTGTCAGAGAATATTTGCATTTCTTTAGTAATTTGTAATTTACCAGTTGCATTTAGGATTTGCTTCCATTTTGTTGAAGGCATTGGTGTTTACTGAACTCTCAGCACTTGGCACCAAGCAAGGACCTGTGACATTGTTTACTCCTTACTCAGCCTAGAAAGTGTTTCTGTCTCACGTGACAGATGAGGTGGCTGCCTGAGCACACATAGCCATGGAGGGAGCACCAGTGAGTGGGGCAGGCTGTCTGGGTGTCCTGGCATGCCAAGTCAGGCCCTTCCTGCCTGTGACACTCTCAGAACTGCTTACCTGTGACACTGGTGGTCAAGACCGCAGGCCACTGGCCCCATCAAGAGAACCAAGCACACCATCCCTGAAAAAGAAAGACCTTTCTCTTGAGAAGGAAGCACCAACTGGGCCAGCCCTCAGCCTGGACATGCTGGCATCACACACCCAGCTTCTCAAAACCCCTGGCATTTCAGGGAGCTTCTTACCCAGGCCCTTGAAAGTGCTCTGGGAGGAGACCTGGGAATGGTTATTTTTCCTTCCTCAACAAATTACCACTAAATTACACCTTAAAACACAAGGACTATTCTTGTCTTGAGCAGGTCAGGAATTTGGGAGCTATGTAGTGGGTGGCTCTAGCCAAGGTCTCCCCCGAGATTGGTCAGATGTCAGCCAGTGCTCAGTCTTGTGAACACCAGCGGGGCTGGACCACCACTCCCAAGTTGGCAGATTGATAACTTGCAGTGGCAGGAGGCCTCCATTCATTGCACCTGGCCCCTTCCTATGCCTCACAACTAGGCAGCTTCCTGTGAGCGCCATCTAAGAGTGAGGAGGAGCCATGTGTCTTCCATACCCCAGCTTTGGAAGTCATACACTGTCACTTCCTCAGTGTCCTATGTCTGACACATATTGGCCTGGGACGGGAGTATCTGGGCTTGGGTGCCAAAAGGCGAGGGGCATGGGGCTGTCTTAGAGGCTGGTTCCCACCCTTGCCATGTAATTTTTGATGACTCCTTTCTTCTTGGCAGGGAAGCAACTGCTATGACATGTCATGTCTGTGCCCTCTGGTGACATGATGGCTGGGACGTCTTTACTTGTGGAATAACAGCTAGAGTTTCCTAGTTATTCATATGCTTTACCCTGATGTCAGTTCTCTTCAGAAGCACTCTGGGAAGTGGGGGAGCAGTGGAAAGTCTGATTTTTAACTTTTATAAGTTAAAAAGGGGAGCATGCCTCATTTCCTTGTGTGACTGGGAATGCTGTGGCTCCTTCTCTGCGTCTCTGACGTTGTGCCTGCCTCTAGATGTGGGCATAACTAATTTTTTGACATCATAGAAGGAAGCACTAAATAACAATACTAAAAAAGCAAATGTATCAAGTGTTAGTTATTGTCACTTGAGCAGAGGGGCATATGGATATGATTTAATATTATTATTGTAGTAGTACAATACATTTAATGTAAATGGTTTTATTCTCTTATTTTCAATATCTTGAGAGGAAAGAATGCTCCCTACTCCACTAGGCCATGGCTCATCTCTCTATTAGATCATTTTCCTACCAATAAAACTACCCACCCATACATATACTTCATAGAGATTCTATTAGTTTGAAATGATAAAAACTCAACTCAAAATGTCTAAAGGAGAGAGGATGTTATGGGCTCACATGAGCAGGCACTTGGTAGAAGGTGCCCAGAGGTGTCGTCAGGCCTCTCTTCCATCAGTCCTCTGCTTGCATCTTGGTGGTGTTGGGCTCAGCTCATTTCTCTTCATGCAGCTTCCAAGGCCAATAGGGCCCATACAGCAACTTATTTCATGGAGAAAGGCCTCTCCACCGGCCTCCTATTAGTCCCCATGATGTCCTCTGCTTCTGTGTCAGTTACTTCTTCAAGAAGAGGGTCTCTGTCCAGCCTGGGTCATATCCACCCTGATGAGGGGTGAGGGGAGAACTTAGCCTTGACAGGGACTATGGGGGAGGGGAGACCAGAGTAACATGGATGGGGGCAGGGCAGAGGCTTTACCAAAAGAAAAGTTGGCAGGTGCTGCCAACCAGGACAATGTGTATCTGGGCCTGGCCTGTTCTTAGGAAAGCCAGGAAGTATTTGGTGGAACCACACATCCTTTCCTGACCAATGGGCTTTGCTATTTCCAGAGTCTTGACTTCAGTATGGATGAGAAGGTGGACCTTTTGGAGCTGACCTGGGCCCTTGAGAACGAGCTCATGATGGTTGGTGGTGCCACTCAGCAGGCAGCCTTGGCCTGCTACCGCCAGGAGCTGAGCTTCCGCCAGTAAGAGCCCAGTGCGGTCGGGGAGATTGTGGGGGTACAGCTGGCCGGGTTGCCTGGAGGGGAGTTCATGGAAATGGGCACCCTGCCCTTGTCCATCCCAAGACAGTCCCAGGGGGCAGGGGACTTGACACACCTTTCCCACAGGCTGTCCTTTAGTGGGCACTCTTAGTGGGACAGGGCAAGAGTTAAGTCATGAGTACAGAAGAGGGCTCCCTGTGCCTCAAGTGGCATCCTCCTGTGGGGTCTGAGGGGCCTGAGGGCCCAGTGGCCTGTGTGGTAGCTGCTGCTAGGGCTTTAACAACTACAGAATTTCAGAGTCACCAGCCTGCCTTCACACTTGGTGAGAAGCTTAGAAGCTGATGTTGAGGTCCTCCATCAGTCCCTTTTAGCAAGATTCCAAAGGGGGAATTTGAACCTGACACTCATCTTGCTGACACTGGAGCTCTTGGGTGCAGACAGAAACCAGTTAGTGGAGTGTGTTCCAAGAGCAGGCAGAGGGGTCCTGTCTGGGACGGCTGGCAGGAGAGGAGAACGGAGTGTTCCTCAATATGTTCACCAAGAACAAAATGACAGGGGGCCTGAGAATGCATTCCATTTTAGTTGGGTTCAGCTTTCGATTAGCTGAGGGTTCAGGCCATCCATCTGCTCAGCAGATTGGCATAAAGATTGTGTTTGTGTTTATTGATGTTCCACAGATGCAGGGAAGAAATCATGATTTCCATCCTGAAGATTGCATCCAATTACATGCTGACAGATGAGCTTTCTGACCTCAGGCAGCTCTGAGAATAGGACTAGAGACTGTGCCTTGGGAGAGTAGAGGGAGAAAAGCTCTGTGTTCCTTCAGGGGGATAAACGGTCACCGAATAGCAAGTGCCAGGGGTGAGTGCAGAGCCTCGTGTGGAGACTGTGGTGACTAGAAAGAGTGAGAGCTACACACAAAAATCATATTCTGCTCTGAGTGACTCACCCAGATGCCTGGCTGCAGGTGTCAGGGTGTGAGCAGGCAGGGTGATGAATGCCAGCCTTCTCTCCATGATGTGTCCAGTCCCAGATTAGCTACTTGGGGATCCCTGGGAGAGGAGATAAGAGGGTGACATGGATAAATTCTCATCTGTTCTGGGCCATCTGGAGGTGTTGCACAACGTAAGGCTCTAGGCTCAGACTTCCTTGGTTCAGAAACCTTCTAGAAACCTTCCTTGGTAAGTCATTTAACCTCTCTCTCAGTATGTGCATCTGTAAAATAAGTATAGTAATTCTGGAAACCACTTTTAGGAGATGGTTAGTGGTAGCAATGAGGTCAGAGCATGCCTGTGCTCAGCACCCCGTTAATACAGCCCCTTCTATCATTCCTGGAGACACAGGGCTTGTCGAGCCCAGAGCAGGTATCCCCCTCTGACCCTGTCTCCTTCCTGTGGCAGGGGGCAAGTGGAGCAGATGGCAAGGGAACGAGACAAGGCGAGGCAGGACCTGGAAAAAGCTGAGAAGAGAAACCTGGAGTTTGTGCAAGAGATGGATGACTGTCACTCTGCCCTAGAGCAGCTCACAGAGAAGAAGATCCAGTAAGTCTCGCGGTCATAACCAAGCACAGAGCTGTGGCTCCTCAGCAGCTGGGTGGTGATTCCCAGCTCTGGCCAAGGGTGGGTGGTGGATGTGAGGCTGCCATTAGCTGAGGCCATGTTCATGAACGTGGTGGAGCTGAGGTCCTTCTCACCTGAGCCAGGAGAAATCTAGAAGGTGCACCTCTGGGGATGTCCTTCCTTGAAAGAAGATGGGTACATTTAAAAAAGTAGTCTTGCTCTTTATGATGTGGTGTCATGGTGCAGGGGCATCCAGCTATGTGTGCCTTTTGGCTGGAGGGAAAATTCTTATCCTCTTCTTTACTTATAGGGTCTGTCCCACCCAAACTATGTTTTCTGTGAGTACCTGTGGCTAGTGACATGGATGAAGTTTTTGAGAGAAGGCTGGTAAATGGTTTTAGAGCCTGTTGAAGGCACTTAATATGGTAGAAGCCCAGACCCCAAAACCTGACTTCAGGTATTGTAAGTTATAATAGGTTCAACAGACCCCTAGTGAGCGGACTACTCCATCAGTAAGCCTGGTTGCTAGACAGACCAGAGGAAAGGATTTCTGACCTCTTTTATGGACACAAAACCCACTCTCTGGTTTTTTTAACCAAAATGTGAGGAAATCCAGCCTCTGAGGATCTCCCAAACTGAGGCAGGCAAAGAGGAGATTTTCACCCCACTTTGGGATACAGTCTATGCTAGGCATCCCTGGCAGTGCTCAGCTGGTTATTCACTTTCTCAAAGCTTTTGTCACCTGGAGGGATTCCCTCAAGGATAGCAAAGAGTGTGTGCTGCAGAAAAACCGGTGTGGTACACTCAACTTTCAGCAGTGCTGGTGGTTGAGGCACAGAAGAGCTGTCAGCCTCCACTCCTCATTCTTCCTCAACCAGCCCTTTCTGTGATCCTGGAAGGAGAGAATCCTTGAGGTTCCTCATCTGTGAAATGGGAATGGTGACAGACCATCCTCTGCACAGGAGGGCGCGGGTCTGTGTTGGAGCTCTTACAGGCCCTGGTGCATGCAGCCACCAGGTACATCTCATGCCTGTGGGTTAGTGGAGCATGGGCCTCCGCAAAATGTAGGAGAAAGAGAAGTAATAACTTATGTGGCAAGCCATCTCATTCCTGCACCTCTGAGATGTTGCCTCTCCCTGTCTTGTGTGGTTGTGGCATTTGAAGGTAACACTTCTTACACCAGCCCTATCAGCAGTGTACGTGTGGGTGTTATAGCGTGATGTATATGAACCTACTTATACATGGCCCTGGCTGGGCAGCATAAGGGCCTTCACAAGGACCTTTACCTGATCCCATCTGCATTATTGGAGGCTTCTGATCAGCATCTCTAGAAACGGTTGCTCCTGCCTTGCCTGGGGACTACCACAGTCACATTTACAAAGCCCTCACCCCCGGGCCTCATGGCTCACACTAGGAAGGATTGGAGGTATCCTGGGATGCAGCCAGCTTTCCTGGAGGTCTACAGACCTGCAGGGCAGTCACAGCAGATGGGGGGGTTTCGTGGCAACTGAACAGTGGGGTTGAAGCCCAAGAGCCCATTCCAGTTCATCTTCACTAAAGATGGGGTGTGCTTTCACTGTGCAGCCAGAGGTCTGGGGGTTGAGGAGCTGGTCAGCCCTTCAGGAAGGAGCTTCCAGCCTATATGAAACTGCTGTTATTATTGTGGTGTTACTGTTGTATGCCAAGTGTCACCTGAGTTACCAGCCATGGTTACCCGAAATAGGCCGTTTTAGCCCCATTTTTCAGCTAAAGAAACTGAAGCTTGCAGTAGTCAATAGCTTGCCCATAATCACGCAACCAGTGGGGCCCAAAATTTGAAGCCAAGTCTCCTCTCTCTTTGTTGTACACTGTCCCCGAGATAAAAGAGCATGAGGCCCTGGTCTGCCATGTATTAGGAGTGTGAGAACAGACCATTACGCAGGAGGAACACTTGCAAGATAGAGAGCTCATCACCTTCCCAGGCTGGGGTCACATAGAGTCACATACTGCCATCTTAGGTCAGCACCTGAGCCCCATCGGCCTACCTTCCCACAGGACCCTTGTACTCGGGGATCCAAGGGAGAGTTCTGGCTGTTACTCCTGGTCTGTGGAGAAACAGACTGTGCATAGAGCAGAGCCCCACATCTGAGTCTACAGGCCTTTGGAATCACCCTTTCCTTCCTGGGGGTAGCTGGGGAAGGCCGAATGCAGCAGGCTGAGATCCTTGTCTGCCCACCAGTGGATGTCTACACCTGCCTCTGCCTGGTGTGGAGAAGGAGTATGCAAGAGATGGTGTCAAGGGGCATGAGTGTGAGGGAGTGCATGTGTGTGTGTGTACAAGTGTGCACACACGCACACTCACTTCCAACACTCCTGCACAAAAGACTCTCTGAGGATAATGGGATGTTTAGGAAACCAAAACATTAAAGATTCTTTCACCAAATTTTCAAAAATACTTCCAGTCAAACCTGAGAAAAATAAATAAACATGGTCTCACTGTAAGGTGTTGTTGGTAGAGCTGAGGAGGCCAGGGTGGGGAGACCAGGGTGGGGAGACCAGCCACGGACACCTTGACTTCTATGTGGATGCACTGACTGTGGCCGTGCTGAGCCTCCCTTATCTCAGTGTGGAACATGAGTGGTGTTTATCACAAAGGAGCATTTAGTTTGGAAATAACTGCATTTTGTCTCTTGTCAGCAATTGACCATCTCTGTTCATCTGATTCCCTTGCAGCATCCAGCCAAAAGCGTCCCCCGCTCACCCCTTCTTGCTGAGCATGTTCTTGTGGGTGGAATTAGAATGTTCAAAGTGTTGGTTCTTGTAGCTACAGATGTATGATTTTGCTCACCTGACACAGTCTTCTTAGTTCCCTAACTTAACAAAATAGGGTGTGAGGTCAGCATAAGTTTCCACAGAGTGAGACCATTACTAAAAATTAAGAACTGAAGGAACCTTGGAAGAAGCCAACAGAGCAGTTGCTAGCACATTTTTTCCTTTCTCAGTGCCTCCCCCTCCCTCCTCATGGCTCTTCTAACAATGTGGATCTGTTGTTAGACTCACCACTGACTTTGGAAGCTTGGGATCCCACCTGAGCAGGAGTGAGACTGATCTGGTGCCATGAGATCTTGAATGGAAGCCTCACCAGGACCCTGAGATGGGAGGGGCCTATGGGGGCCTCTCTAGACTCTAGAGTAGTCTGACTCCCACACAACCTTCCTCTGCTGACAGCCCGTACTGCAGCCTCCCAACCCTTGGTTAGTGTTACTGGAGGGAGAAAACTCTTTTTTCGAGAATTGTGTACAAGAGCTAAATGTAAATTGATCTTAGATGATCAATTTGAGTAATGGAAAATTGATTTGCTTCAGTCACAATGTGCTAGGCTTAAATTGGGGGAAGAGAGGGAGGAGTAGAACAGAAGATTTTTAGGGCAGTGGAACTACTCTGCATGATACTGTAATGGTGAATTCACATCATTACACATTTTCCCAAACTAATACAAGGCCATTTTATTCACTTCTTTTTCCCACGTACATAATTATGTACAAAATGGTATTGTATCATATATGCTTTTGTGTTGGCCACAGAGCATCCTGTTTTTGGGTCTACCATATTTTATTTATCCATTTTCCTTTTGTTGGATATTTCACAAGTTTTTAAAGAGTGGAGTGGTATGGTCAAATAAGTATTTTTAAAACTACCTCAAATGTCTATGGAGTGTTACATTAGCTAGATTGATCTTATTGTTTCCCCCTAAGTAACAGCTTCCCTTTCTCCACCTCCTTTCCCTCTGGGTGTTCTTTCCTTAAAGTTTTGGGATGAGATTCAAAGTCCAGACTGCCTGGAGGGGCTGGAGGACAAGCCCCCAGTGTTCTCTTCTTAATTACTAACATTGCCTAGCCCTCTGCTGAAGTATGAGTTTTGCTCATCATCAGTCTAGAGAGACCTGGTTTGAGAGATCCTGCTCAGCAGCTGCTTCAGTGATAAAACTAAGATTTGGCAGTTTTTCTGCTGATAGAACTGGTTCTTAAAAAAGAGTAAGGCATTAGGAGGAACTTAACAGAGGACCAAGGGGGAGAAGAAGGGCGGAAATGGGGGGGGAAAGGGAGAGAGGCAAACCATGAGAGACTCTTGAATGCTGACAAAAACTGAGGACTGATGGATGTGGGGGGAGGAGGGATGGGCATGGAGGAGGACACTTGTGGGGATGAGCACTGGGTGTTGTGTGGAAACTAATTTGACAATAAACTATTTGTAAAAAAAAAAAAAAAAAAGAGTAAGGCAGAAACTGAGGGGGAAAATGCCTCTGACCTTGTCCTCTGATTGCTTTGGGATTCACTCTCCGCAGGTTTTATGTTGCCTGTGTCCTTCACAAGAAGCTTACTTTTGTGCACATTTGGTTATCCAAGGCATTTGATGGCTACTGTGGTGTGGAAGGCAGCTGAGAGGCCAAGGGCATCAGAGAGGTCTACCTCCAGAGAGCATTCACTAGCTCACTCCAGAGGGTCCAGGGATCTGCTTGCTTCCCTCGTCACCTCCCCCAGCCCTGGGATTGGGGGCATCCACCACCAGTCCCAGGGTAGGGCAGGATTTAAAGCAAGGCCCCTGCCCTTACAGCATGTGCAGCTTAGCTGAGGTTCAGTGACCCCTTCTTTCAGCAGGAACAGTGGAGTTCCAAACAGTGTAGCCAAGTGATGTGTGGGTTGAAAGGTTCCAGGGAAGAAAGGCCATGTTGCCTGGGAGATGTCCCTCGGGTGGGGGCGGGGGGTGTCAACGTGGGCCTAGGTGGTGCTCCTTGGGACCCAACATGACATATTCCGTGTGTGCTGTACAGACACCTGGAGCGGGGGTACCGGGAAAGACTGAGCCTCCTGCGGTCTGAGGTGGAGAGGGATCGTGAGCTGTTCTGGGAGCAGACCTGCAGGCAGAGGGCTGTGCTGGAGAAGGACCTGGAGCGTCTGCGGGGTGAGGAGGCCAACCTACGTGAGAAGCTGACTCTGGCCCTGAAGGTAAGTGGGGAGCCATGTCTCCCCAGGACATTCTGCCTGGAAAGACAGAAATGAGGTTGCCCGGGGGGTCAGTCCTCCCACACCTCACATTTTCTTAGTCAGGGACTGACTACCTCCTAGTGACCTTATTATATTTCGGTGGGAGGGAAGTGCCTGCGATTTCCCGCTAAGGAACATTTGCTGCAGCCACAGAGATAGCACATTTCTCAGCCAAAGCAGAAAGCATCTTGGCTTGGAATGAGAGGCATTACTCCTTCCTTCTCTCTGGTTGTCGGGGCACCAGGACAGGTTGAGACCTGAGGGGTTCTTACTCTCTGCTCTGGGTCAGGGGGACAGTGGTCATGGAGGGTCAGCGGCAGCAGCCAGCTTTGCTGTGCCCCCTGGAGACTGTGGAGTCATCAAAAGACTAAACCCTAAAGCCCACTCTGCTGGAGTCCTGGGTTTGTGGTCTGAAGCAGAGGAGGTTTTCTGGGCTTTGGTGAGTGTCTTGCGATCCACAGCCACCCTGCATTTGATTCCATCCAGTGAGGTGTCCCCTGGTCCCTCCTCTGCTCCTGCCTTCTTCCTCCTTTCCTAACTCAGAACCTGCAGATTCTTTCCACATCTGCCTGATCTCTGTCTCCCTGGCGCAGAAGCTGAGCCTTGCCCACACCGTGTCCTTACTACTCCTCTCACTGGTTTCCTGTGTTTGTGGACACTGCCTTCCTCCCTGCTAGACCTCTGAGCTATAACTGTGCAGTTTCAAATCCCTTATTTAGAAAACAGCTCAGAAAGGATTGCCCCCCAGCCACTTGTGTTATTCATGGCCTTGAGCACTTGGGGCGGGAGAAGTAAGAGCGGTGAGGAAAGGGACAAGCACTGGTGAGGGGTCTATGGGCTTGGTCCCCAGAACAGCCTCCTAGGACTCCTATAGGCAGTGAGCACCTGCATTTTCAGGTTTCTTCCCTGATTGTGAGTGCTGCTGGGAATAAGTTTTTGATGCAGAGGGGAGATAAGCTGCTGACAGCTCTCTTCCACTCCTGAAGCCCAGCAAACTGCTCGTTTTTGTCTTGTAGGAAAACAGTCGATTACAGAAGGAGATTATTGAAGTTGTGGAAAAGCTTTCAGAATCAGAGAAGCTGGTCTTGAAATTGCAGAATGACCTGGAATTTGTGTTGAAGGACAAGGCAAGTCCTTTTGCTGATTTTTGAGTCTCTGGTTACTGGGTAAAAACTGTCAGGACTTGAAAAAGAATCCACAGGTGACTGAATTCAGTTTTTTCTTACTAATATTCTAGAATGGAGAGAAAAATCATCAGATTGACCTTTCTTCTGTTTTCTTCCTCTTCATGCCAGTGTAGGGGTGCTGATCTTTTAGTGACAGAGCCAGGGCTCGCCAGCACCATATGCACAAACCCCAGTGATGGGTTCTCAGTGGTGAGGGGCAGGGAGGAGAGCTCCATGCCCACCATGAGGCCCTCCATCTGGCCCTGCCCATCACTTTGGGAGAAGGAGGAGAGGGGAGGTACTGCATGGAGAGGTCCAGGCAGAGGGCATCCTAGGCAGCTGAGGTAGGAATGCACCTCAGACTCCAGTTGAGAGTATGACCACCTTCCATAAATTCAGAACATCCTTCTGCCTTGAGATCTTTGAAACAAGGGGAGGGAGGAAGTGGAGGGATGGAAGGCTATACCTGGAGATGCTGAGCCTATTGGGTGAAGCATGATGGGGTGACAGCACACATTCTACCTGGCCTGAGTTCCTATCTGTCATTTTCCTGTGTGGGTCTGACTTTCAGCTGGAGCCACAGAGCACAGAGCTTCTGGCTCAGGAGGAACGGTTTGCAGAGATCCTAAAGGAGTACGAGCTCAAGTGCCGGGTACGTGCTGAACCAGGCCCCCTTTGCCATCACTAGCCATCACATTTACTTTGTCTTGCACTGGCGACATTGCTTTTGTCTTTGGTGCATGGAGCCCTCATGCACCCCTGCCTGCACCATCCAGCCCACTTTAGAGCAAGGGCACTGGTACTGGGGAAGGTTCTGAAAGCTTGGCCCTCCAGAGATCTCCTAGTGCCAGAAGGCTGTGCATCTGTGCTTGTTCCTGGCTGTGCTTGCTAAGAGTGAGCTGTTAGAGCCCATGAGATGGGTGGGTGGTGTGGGTTGTCAGGGTCTGACTGTTTCACATCACAGTGTATAGGCCTCATACTTTACCCTGCTGCCTAGGAGTGGCCTTTCATTTATGGGAGGCCACATTCCTGGCCTCCACATGAAGTATGGGTCAGCAGGAGCATCTATGTATGAGCAGAGCAGGTGGAGCCTGTGATCTCAGCCTGTGTTCTACTGATGGATCCTCCCAAGTTTCATATTCCTCAAGGAGAGGTGACCCGACTTGTCTGGGTGGTGCCCATGCTCAGACCCACACAGGCTGGCCAAAGTTCATAGACGGGCACCAGTTCTGAAGCTCCCCTCAGTGTTTCCAGGGCACATGCAGGTAGCCAAACCTACCAAGGGCCATCCATTCAGTTAGAGACGCTGCAAAGCAAAGCATAGGTGGTGAACAGTGTCAGTGAAACGTATCACAACCCTGTTACACTCTTAAAATTATCCAGGACCCCAACAGATAAAACATTATTGTTTGTTATTAAGGGTCTATTTACTTCTTAATGGTCTCCCTCCAAATTAAAGACAAAATTGACTTTGTTCCTGCTTCATGTTGCTTTGGCAACACCAGAAGATAAAGGTGAGCCTGTGCTGTTCTGGAGTGAGACATGACCCACTGCTTCCTCCCTTTGCTCTTTTCTCTGCTCCAAACCCTGATGTCAGGGTACCCTCCTGAAATCCTGTTTGTCAGCTGTGTCACCCCCTCCTGAACCTCCTACTGGCATGTGTTGGGGTCTGTTGTGCAAGTGGGATTGCAGTCAGATGTGTTTCATCCCTCCCTTTAAGCTTGTTGCCTGGACTTAGAGCCTGTAACTAACCATCAGTTAATACGTTACTTTAGGGCACTGAATCTTTCAAACACCCATAAATGAATCTTTCTGTCACGAGACTCTGTTACTCATTTCACTTTTGGTTCTTGAAATTTGACTTCTTGAAACATCAGAAATATGGAACATAGTAGTATTTATTTATTCAGAATTTTGCTTTTTCCATTTTTTAGAATATTTTTGATTGTTTCAAACTAACATTTAGAGCATTAAGAAAACTTTTTATTGGAAAATAATTTCTAATACATGAAGTTACAAAAGTAAAAACAGTGACAGGGACACCTGTATACTCTTTGTCCATATTCACTTGTTGTTTACATTTTACTCCATGTGCTCATTGCATGTTTGCTCACTTGTGTGCTGTACATGGATGTGAGTGTGTATACACAGTTATTTTCTGAACATCTGAAGGTGGGTGATATGCATCACCAGGCCACTCCACCCCTCAGTAGCTCAGTGCACATTTCCAAAGAACAGAATTAGTCCTACCACGCACCTTGCAGTGGTGTGCATGTGCAGAAGTTGATTATTAAAGGTTCAGGAGTTTTGCCAGCTTCTTACAAAACCTTTGAAAAAGCTTGAAATCAGCTCTTGTGAGAGTTATTTATACCACAGAAATGTGCAAAACCTAGAAATCTGGGCTTTTCTTCTAGAAGACCCAGCTTCCAATTCCACCTAATTGTGATACACTTACTAACTTCATGATTCCCACTGCTAAAATATCTTAACCTGCTCATTGTATTTCAGTTTTTTTAGTTAACCTACAGGATCCATTGCCTTTAGTTGTGTCTGCATAAGGTCCTTCAGTCTGAAACATTATGTCTTAGGCCATTCAGGCTGCTACAACAAAAAAAGGTCATCATAGATTGGGGGATTTATAAACCAGATTTAGTTCCCACAGTTCTGGAGGCGGTATTACTGAACCCAAGTGGGCCTACTCCTTTGGTGAGATGCAGACAGAGACTAAAGCCAGTGGAGCTGCCTCACAAGCTCACTTTATTTGTAGAACAGGGAGATCATGGGGAGTAATTAAAATAGCCAAATAAGGGAAAGCAGCAGGCTCCTTTTACTAGGGCTTGGGATGAATATTCAGAGAGGGATTTTCACATTATAGTGAGGCTGAGGTAACTGTCCATCACTTCTGATTGATCTGTACTCTGGCCTCCTCAAGTGTTTTTTTTTTCCCCCTGATGGATTGATTGATTGTGAGGATGAGCAGGGGAAGGGCAGAGAGAGAGGGAGAGACAGAATCTCAACCAGGCTCCACACTGTTAGTGCAGAGCCTAACATAGGGCTCAATCTCATGAACCGTGAGATCATGACCTGAGTTGAAAACAAGAGTCGGACCACTCAGTTGGTTAAGCATCCAACTTCAGCTCAGGTCATGATTTGTGAGTTTGAGCCCCCCCTGCCCCCCGCCCCCGCCCCTAAATGGGGCCCTGTGCTCACAGCTTAGAGCCTGGAGCCTGCTTCGGATTTTGTGTCTCCTTCTCTCTGCCCCTCCTCTCCCCTCCAAAATAAGCATTAAAAAAAAATTAAAAATGAAGTAAAATAAAATAAAAGGTGAGATTGACAGCTAGACAGAAGCCTCTAAGAATTTAGTTCCTAAAGGATAAGACAGTTAGCAGAAGCTTCTACTAGAAATTCCTTGAGCTCAGGGTCAAGCTTGTGGTTTGGTATCTGGTGAGAGCTTTCTTCCTGGTACAGATGGAAAGACTGCCTTCACGAGAGCTCTCTGGGGTCTCTAACACCAGGGCACTAATCATTCCTCATGACCAGAGGGCTCTACTCTCATGACCCGATCACCTCCCAAAGTCCCAGCCTCCAAAATCATCACCTTAGCTGTTAAATCCTAACACAGTCTGCAGCACATTCTCCCAGCCTTTTTTTTTTTTTTTGTCACTGACATGGATATTTTTAAAGAGAGATTTTTAATCTCTTTATTTCATGTTGTTCTGATATTTCCTTTGGATTAAATTGAGATTATGTGTTCTCAGCCAGACAGTATAGGTGATGTTAAGGTGTTGCCTAATTTCCCCACTGTATAATTACTGTTGTTGTTTTTTTCTTCTCCCATGCAACTAATAAGCATTCAGTGGGGAGACACTTAAAAACCCCACAAACATTCTCTTCATCAAATTTTTCCCTAGATTTAGTATCCAATTGGATAGTATCCAGTCTTTACCATGATGGCTGCAAAATAATCATTTCCCGAGCCCAGCAACTACTCTGCATGTATCAATTGGTCCTTGGTGTCCTCCTGTAAGCTAGAGGCATCCTTCTCCTCTGCTGTTTGCTACTGGAGGGTCACTGCCTCTGGCTGATGGTGTTTTTATTTATGATTATTTTTAAATTTTTTGTTTTATTTTATATTAGGGGGAGAGAGAGCGAGCGCACGTGAGCTAAGATGAGTGAGGGAGGAGCAGAGAGACGGAGACAGAATTCGAAGCAGGCTCCAGGCCCCAAGCTGTCAGTACAGAGCCCGATGTGGGGCTTGAACTCCTGAGCAGTAAGATCATGACCTGAGCCGAAGCTGGGACACTTAACTGACTGAGCCACCAAGGTGCCCCTGGCTGATGGTGTTTTCCAGAGGAAGAGACAACTTTCAGCCCTCCCCACTGAGGGGATCAAGTGCATCATTCAACCTTTCCAAAGTCACTGCTGTACATTTTCCTATACTTTGTAACCAGGGTATATGTTCGCAACGACACTATGCTTTCCCTTATTGCCGAATCCTCTCCCTATTTAACTGTCATTTTAGCTTTTTGTTATGTCTTTCTCAATCTTAATTTTGTTGACGAGGCTGCCTTTGTCTAAAGGGGAAATGTTAATCATGTTTCATGTTTCTGCTGTTGCTTTGGGTGGACACTGTAATGGAGGAACACCCTAAATGCAGAATTTTCCCTTCCCTCATTTCCACACTGTTACAGATGGAATGTTTGTGTTTCCCCAGATTCTTATGTTGAAGCCTATGCTCCCATTGTGATGGTGTTAGGAAGTAGGGCCTTTGGGGTGATTAGGTCATGAGGATGGAGCCCAGTGAAAGGTGTTAGTGATTCATATGAGGGACCCCAGGGAGCTCCCCCATCTGTTCCACCATGAGACAGGAAAAGACTGCCACCTACCAGCAAGGAAGCCCTCGCCAGACACTATCTGTCAGCACCTTGATCATGGACTTCTAGCTTCAGAACTATGAGAACTAAATTTCTGTTACTTATGAACCCTGCCTGTGGAAATTTATTATAGAAGCCTGAATGGACTGAATTTGTTACAGAAGCCCTCCCTCCTGCTCCCACTTATATGTATGTGTACTCAGGCCCAGCTTGTAGCCCCAGCCAACCTGCTGGCACCACCTTCCTCTCTGGCACTTTCCAGTGCTGCTGTTGAAATCCCACCCTCCCCTCAGACCCTTCATGCTGCTGTATCGGGGCAATGGACTTGTTGCCTTTATTGGCTCGTGCAGTAGCACCCTATAACCTCCTTTGGCACCCATAGGCACGCTCAGTAAATGTGAGTCCATGTGAAAATAAACAGGCACCTGGTTCCCCAGTCCCACCAGGCACCCCCTGGGTAGAGCTGGGGCTCATGGCTGGTACCCAGGATGGTGCATGTCACCCTCATCAGTTAGAACTGGCCACACTCCCTGATCTGTCTTGAGAGCAAAAAAGTTTATGCCTAGCATAGCACCTAAGAGGACCTGTTTCTGGTACTGCTGAATTTGTGGGATATGTGTATCTTCTCAGAATACTCAATACAAGGTACACATGTAATTTTAAGTTCTCCTGTAGGCAGATTAAAAAATACAAGAAGAATAGTAAGATTTTGTTTAATCCATGATATCCACTGTTATCATTTCAACATATAATCAATATAAGCAGTTTTTTTAAGTTTATTTATTTTGAGAGAGAGCATGAGTGGGGAAAGGGGCAGCGAAAGGGGGAGAGGAGAGAATCCTAAGCAGTCTCCACAGTCAGTGCAGAGCAAGATGTGGAGCTTGAACTCGTGAAACTGTGATATCATGACCTGAGCCAAAATCAAGAGTTGGGCACTTAACCGATGGATCCACCCAGGTGCCCCAATATAAGCAAATTTTTTAATGAGATATTTTACATCCTATTCTTGGAATCCAGTCTCTGAAATTCAGTGTAGATTTTAGGCTACAGCCACCTTGGTTCAGACTGACTGTCTGAACTGTACCTCAGCTGCTCAGTGGCCTGTGCGGTGAGCACTACCATCTTAGATACCCCAAAACTAGAGCAGCAGTGACCACAAGCTATGTCAGCAACTGGGGGCTACACACTCTGCAGACTTGGCCCAAAGCTCTAACTTCCTGGCCCTACCCTTTTCCCCCCAGACAGAGCTGCTCTTTTTTGTGGGGAAACTCTTATATTTGCCCAGGAGCTTCTGAATGAGGTACAATGACCCTTTGTGAAGGGTCTTATAACATCCATGCAGAGCCTGTCCCTTCTCCGGCTGCCTAGAACTGTCAGTAAGAGGCTCCTTCTCCAGGGAAGATGCATTTACAGACCAGGCGCTGGCTGACAGGAACAGTTTTAGGAAGATTAGGTTTATTCAGTGAGAGCTGCTTGGAGAGGAAACTCAAATAGGATTCAAAAACCAGAGGGGGATGTGGAGCTTTGTGAGAGGTATGCCATGGGCTGGGCCCCGAGTCCTCTCCATGTGGCCTTAGCTGCACTTCTGAGAGTGTCCCAAAAGGAGAAGCTGCCTGAAAGCTGCAACTTTGGAAGAGGTGGCATCACTTGTGCTATCCTCCAGGTTAGTCAGTCACAGGCCCACCAGGGTTCTGGAGAAGGAGGACTTAGATCCAGAGTCATGAGTGGATGTGGTAATACATGCAGCTGTGGGGCCATCTAGGAAGGCGGCTATAAACTCTACCCTTTATAGCCCTTTGAAAATCAGATGACTGGGCGTGCTTGTTGAGATGTGTTTCATTCAAGTGTGGTCAAAATTATGCTGGTTGCAAATGAGACTCTGCCTCTGAAGCTTTCATGACCCCCTCTTCCTCACATCCCCCCATATCCCTCTATGTGCATGCTCACCCACCATCCTTTCTGTTTGACACAGTCATCTTTGCTTTATGGCCCTTGGTCTGAAGCACCTGGTATCCTCTTTGCTCAGTAGCTGTAGAAAGAACCCTTTGCAAATTTAACAGCAAGAGAGGAAAGAATCCAAGGAAGGACACATCCCAGACAGTGCTGTGTCACACCCATGTTACAGCATCACTGTGGTCTTAAAGCACTAGAGTTTCAGATGTTAATGGTTCTCTTTATTTTCTACATTCCTCTTCGATTTCCACTCGTCTTTTTTTTTTTTTTTTTCCCTTCCTTCTTAGCCCCTCCTGTATATCCAGTGATTGAAAGTGGTGCAGGGCATAAGAAAGTCAGGAAGTGGCTCTTGCTTTCATTAGGCTCACCTGTCGTTAGGAATCTAGAATGCAGTTTAAGTGTTGTGTGCTGGAAATCAGGGCCTGACACCTGACTGCTCCTTGGGCTGGCTGGCTCCATACTGCTCTGCTCCTCACCACTCCTTAGGTGGCCGCTTTGGCTGCAGGGGGTGTCTGACTCTGCCCCACAGGACCTGCAGGACCGCAATGATGAGCTGCAAGCTGCACTGGAAGGCCTGCAGGCTCAGCTGCCCATGAGTTGGCGCAGTCGTCCACATACACAACGAGAGGAACAGCTCCTCCCTGGACATGGCCCAGCAGGTAGGAGCCCAGTCCTGGGAAGTAAGGGATCGTGTGCTCCTGCTGTGGAAGAGTAGGGGCTGGTGGCAATGCCCCCTCATCCAGGGGCACTCTGTGGGATGGGGCCAGCTCCTCAGCATGTCAGGCTTCCAGAGGATCATGAGCCCCTTTGGACCAGCACATTTGGGAGAATGGCCTGTAACCCAAGGCCAGGGACAATATCCAGAGCCCCAAAGGAAGAAGAAGGTGAAGGTAGAGATCTCTTTAGGTAGAGATGGTGAGGTATGATGACGTTGTAGTGACCTCAGTACAGGCATGACCTAGTAAGCCTCTTGGGTTGTGGGGAGGATCCAGATAGATGCCCCACGGTGATCATTCAGCATGAATTGGACACAGTCATTTAGGGAAGGGAGGCGAGGAGAGACTGGGGGTCATGCAGAGCATGAGGTCTGGTCTTGGGTCTGTGACAGCACTCAGGGAAGGTGCTAGAGTATGTGAAATGCATCAGGGACTCCTGATATTCACAGGGGCCTCATGTGGACCATGGCAGAACAGGGCTGATGTTTACAGCCTGGACTGTATGGAAAGGATCAAGGTAGGGTGGGGCCCTGGTACCTTGGAAGGGCCCGTTCCACCTGCCCATGCACAGAGCTGATGCTGAAGGTGTCGCTTTAGAAAGGTCAAGGCTTCCTGCTCCTGAACTCTTCAGACTGTGAGGTTTGGGATAAGTTCTAAACACCACAAGGCCTTGATGCCCTGTGTTTAAGTTGTTGGCTACTCCTAGAGACCAGAATGAGTGGGGTGGGGGTTCAGATGGCCCAGATATCCTTGAGGTTTCCATGGTTCCTCTGGATGACAGGGTGGGTTTTGCTGCTTGCTGCTTTTCCTCACAGTTGTGTGGAGCAGGTAGCATGCAAGATCACATGGTCCCCGAAGGATGGACGGTGTCGGCTAGGGAGGGATGAGAGAGGCGCGAGATTCTTTCTGGGCACCAGCCAGGCCTCTCCGCCCTGTCTGAGACTCAACTTTATTTTATAGTTTACTGTTTGGGGGATGGCACAGGAGTGGCATTCTGATGATAAATCCATGTATCAGTAAAGACTTTCCAGAACATTGATATGCAAAAGGATGGGGAACAGCCCAGAAGTTGCATTCTGATGGTAAATCCCCTGATCAGTAAAGGTTCTCCAGAACATTGATACACAAAAGGATGGGGAACAGCCCAGAAGTGGCATAGGCATAGTAAAGGCAAAAGTTACCTTAGTGGGAGGTATTAAGAAAAACAGGTCTTTCAGGAACACAACGTTACTCCCATAACCATTAAATAAGAAGTTGCTATAGTAAGTTCCTTCACAAAGTGCAATCAGTATTTCAAACCAGAATGAGTCACTCCTAATATCAATTAACAAGGTGACTTGGGGGTTGGTACTCAAGCTGAAATAATTGGGTGTGGGTGGATATCGGGGTTGCCATCTGATGGTAAGAGTCCATGCAACTTACCTTAACCTCATAAGGAGTTTTCTTAACCTATGAGTTCAGGAACAGCTCCCAACAGTGCCCGTGACTCCATGCTTGCTGCTGTTGGTGGGGAGGGGGACCTCCCCACCATGGGGACCTCCAGGACTGCCCTACCCCTGGCCACTCCACTGACCATCTATCACAGCAGAGTGATCAAGATGCCCTCAGAGAGCATCTTGTTCTCATCTGCAATCCTGAGGGCACTCAGAGCTACCATATTGTCCTAAAGCTGTTTACTTCTTAAAACAGGAAAGTTTATATGTAAGAGAGACAACATGGGACCCTCCAAGAGGAACTGAGTGGGGCTTTCTGTGCATGTGGGTCCAGCTTCCTCAGCCCCTTTAGGCCTTCTTTAGTGGAGTCTAATGGCTCCTAGTCCATGACCTGTATTCTGCTGCCCTCAGCTGGGAGGTATTGGGGTATGGCTAGCACACTGGACATTATCACATCTCCATATGAGTGTTACATGTGGCTAAGTGGGCAGCCTGACCATAGGGAGGAACTTGTCCCTGGAGAGGAGCCTGGGATACACAGAGCATGGGACCCTTGTTAAGAGCCACCGACTCATAACCCAGGGAGCAACAGAGCTATGATCCTGTACCTTGGGTGGCCCTTGTCCAGAAGACCTTGGGCTGTGGCACCAGAAGGCAGCTCCCAGCTTTATGTCATCACTGATCTGCCCACCAAGGCCCTTTGTCTTTCCTTTTGCCCTGCCAGCCTCCCCCTCATCTGATCACAGAAGTTCCATCAGCCCCTTCTAAGGAGGGGGCCTGTATGCTGCCACAGGAGCATTTTGCCACAGGAGCATTTTGGTGGAAGGGCTGTGTGGATCATGGTGGCTGTGCCATCAGTGCTTCCAGCTGGAGCCACTTGGCCAGGTATTCCTCCACCCAGGCCTGCTCAGCCAAAATCACGTGGCAGCTCTGGCTGTCAAGGCAGAGGCTACTTTCTTTTCTAAGGTACTTGTCCTGACTTCTCTCAACCACATGGCCCTCAGTCTGTCACTTGTTTTCATGGAAAATAGTTAAGTGATATGTCATTTCCCTTCATTTTCCTGGCCCCAGACCAACATAGATGAAACCTGAGCAGTAGCCAAAACCCACATTCTGAGTCAATCGTTTGGCATGCCTCTCAACACACACAGCACTGGGAATGCCTGGTGCCTGGGGAGCGCTGGTGGTACTTATGGTTCTATACGTGCCTCACAAAACGAGCTGTAAGGACATCTGACATTGTTGGTCTGTGAGGAGAATCATCTGGAACAACGGGTTGCTCACATCCTCTTTCCTGTGATCTGTCAGAAGCTTTGCTCCATGAGTATTTACTATGCCTAACATATTTGTTGAAACCCCATGTTATTATCATGTAAAAGTAACATACAGTCTCCAAGAAAAGGGAGGAGCTAAAATAAAAAGATTGAAGAAATAAGCCTCATAATGCCTTGTCATAAAGCATTGATGCTCCAGAGGTTAGTCTGTGCCTTGTCTGTCTTCCCAGTTCCTCAGGGTACCTGGCGTCCTCGGGGAACAGAATTCAGGGAGTAGTAAAAGTACCATGTATGCCATCTTTTAGGGAATCCAGGGGCCTGACAGTTCTTGCAGGGAGCCTCCTGGTTATATCTTTAAGTAATGTGTGTTCAGTCAAAGACTTGAAACACTGATTTCTGAAGAGCTCCTACTTTGAGAGCTCAAGATAACAGATTGCTTGTGGAAACCTTCGAAGGTTGGCTCTCTCCATCAGCACCGCATTCCTCTTACATTAAAGGCCCATGGTAGGTTGTGCTCGATGAGGGGCATGGTGAAGGAAGGCTAGGCTGAATACTCAGTGCTGTCCAGATGTCATATTGGAGGGCTAGAAACAGACCCATGGCATCCTTGGTAGGTTGTAAATGGAAATGTCTTCTCATTTGCAGGCATCACTTCATTTGTGGGTGATTGCATTCCAGTGAGTTTAGAAACGGAGATAATGATGGAGCAGGTGAAGGAACACTACCAAGACCTCAAGATCCAGCTGGAGACCAAGGTCAGGAGGAGTGAGGATGGCCACAGGGACAGAGAGGCTTTTTGCTGCATGCTGGAAAGCTTCACTTGACTGTGCATGTTTCTGCACGCACATGTGTGCCCTAGACTCTGGGCCCCATAGTAAGCCTGCTCAGGGAGACAAAAGATCATGCGGAAATGTGAATAAAATGAACATTCTGCTTCACACCCTCTTTAGAAGGAGGCAGGAGATAAGGAATGACCAATAAAGGGAGGGAAGGAGGTTATGTGTACCCGATTTCACAAGGGTTGCACCAAGGCCAAACCTCCCTGCTCATTCTGCCAAGGGGGAAGCACACCTCCTGACTATGTTCTAAGCTGAAACAACCCTGGGATAGCCTTTTGTAGGATACTCTGTGGCCTTTTGGCCAGGACCCTGGCTGAGTCTGTCTTCTTAGATAAACTTCTCTGCTGCTCCATTAGCAGATTGTGGTGGGTTTTGTTAAAGGACAGCATCCACGACTTGTTTTCATGATTTGCTGTCAGAGTTAACAGTAGCACCAAGGTGGGGCTGCATGTCTTATGCTTGTGCCCCTGAGCTCCCTGGATGCATTTGCTGGAAACTCCTGCCTTGAGGATGTTCAGAGCCCCCTGCTGGTCTCATGAAGTCTTCCCAGTTCTCTCAGTTGTGCCACCCTCTGCCCTCCTCAGATGACTTGGCCAAGCACCTGGTCCAATGTGGTCTCAGCCTCTGTTCCCCACCTGCTGGACCTGCACCCTGGGGGAGGCTTGGCTGTTGTTAACCTGTTCCCTTCATAGGCTTGTGCGCTTTGTCAGGTCTGGGACACCAGTTCTTTGGATGTTGTACCTGGAAGTCTGGTATTTCTGTGTCACATTGTCAGGTAAGTCATTCTCAAGACCTCCTGATCGACGCTGCTCACGTTTCTCTTCTCAGGTAAATTCCTATGAAACGGAAATGGAGGTGATGAGAAGAAACTTTGCAAAGGAGAGGGAGGAAATACAGCAGGCCTTCAGGCTTGAGGTCCGTGTGTTGGAGTGCCGGAGGGCCGACCTGGAGGTGCTACTCGCAAAGTCTCAGGAGCTCATCCGAGGCCTGCAGGACCAGCTCCAGCAGGCTGCCCGCAGCCCCCTGATGGAGAGGGCAGTGTTGGGGCAGTGCTGCGCACGGGCACTGTCTGACCCAGCCCAGCGGCTAGCCCAGGAGCAGGACCCACTGGAGCAGGAGCAACGCCAGAGGCATCAGAAGGAGCTACAGCAAGTCAGGTTCAGTGCCGTGTCCTTTCGGGATATCACATCTAGGGTCTCTTGCCAAGGGCCCAAATTTGAAATTGCATTAGGCAAACTGCTCAGAATCACAGTGCCTGCTAACGGGGTGCTTTTTCTCAGGGCAGGTGGGTGAGCATTGAAAGAATAGGATCATAAGCATTGTTCCTTTGTATTAAAAATATGTTAACTAGAGCCAAGGAGTTAAAATTCCTTGTAGAATTCTGTCTTAGACTCACCTGATAGCAAAGGGCAGTATGTTCTTCATTTACTATCTCCTCCTAATTGTCCAGGATGTTGTATTATATAACACATAAGGAGATGGATAAAGGGTATAAAAGCCCTAAAACCATGGGAAAGATGAGTAATTTGGGTTAGTGAGGTTCTTGAAAAGGTCAAAATGTATGAGCAAAGAAGAGGAAAGGTTTATTTGGAAAACAAATGTGGCATTTTGTATCCAACAATGTCATAGTTATATGAAAAATACCCACATGTCCATATGGGTCTTAGTAGGGTGAATGACTAGTTATTTCAGCCTTGGTGCTGGTCAGTCAGCCCCTCTGTGTCTTGTGGGGATTCTTGGACCCACCCAGGTCAGAAACGGATGACCACACCCATATGTTGACCCAGGGCTGATCTGACTACTTAAAGTGGAGGGGCCCACCGCACCTCCGCTCTTCATGGAAAGGCTGTGTAGGGCTCAGTGGGGTTCCATTGTTGTAGCTGAGTACACATGGCATCAGTTACCCCCTGACTGCAGGATGTCTGTGACCTGTATATGGAAATGTGCTCTCCAACCTGGGTGGAGTGCACTCTCCCCTTTGGCTTGATGATTGAGGGTAGCTCAAATATGTGGAATGTCCTGTGAAAGACCAGATTGCCCTCCAAATCTGTGGGTGTTCCCTCCTCCCTGAACTCCAGATGACACCAGTGGAGGGGCCCCAGGCCCTTAGGGGCTGACAGGAACCGTTATTCTCCTAGAGGACAACAAAGGTCATTTTTAAGTCTTGTGCTTCTTCTGAGCTGTAAGTTATTTTCTCTTAAACCCCAGAGCTGTGTGATAAGGGACTTGACCCAAGTTCCTCTAGACCCCACCAGCAACAGGGGGGGGGCCGGTGCAGGGTAGCCCCTCCTACCAGCCTGTACCATCCATCTGGAGGAATTGCTTGCTGCTTATGACTCCTCCTCAGGCTGGAGCTGGATCTGTATCCAACCATATGTCCTGTCCTCAGGCCAGCTCTGGCCAGGAGCAGAGAACACACCCTTAGTGCCTCTACCTCAACTGGTACTCCATTCTTCTGGGGCTGCCCTGGTTCCAGCAACTTACCGAATTTTCAAGGGTAGTTTTGACTGTGGGTGAGATTCACGTGGCTCACTAAAGCACTATCCTTAGAACTTCCTGTGATAGGGGACATGTCCTGTGTCTGCTCTGTCCATGATGTCAGCCACGAGCCACACATGGTTACTGAGTCCTGGATATGTGGCCTGCATGACTCAGGTACTGAATTTTATCCTATTTAATTATAATCAACTTACTCTAAAAGTCATCTGTGCGAGTGGTTTCATGTCAGCTTCTATATGTAGAACCCAACCCCACTGAAGAGATCTTCCAACAGACCCTCTAAGGAGGGTCCCAGGACATGGATAGAGCCCTGGAGCACATGGGAGATGAAGGAACAGAGCAGGCCAGGTAGAGAGGAGGTTTGCAGCCAGGACAAGAAGAGCCTGTGAGGAGGCCTTTCCAACCTTGGAGGGAAGGGTTGGGCCTGGAGCTATACCCGCAGCACCTGTGACATGCTCTGTTTCAGTAGGAAAGAGGCAGAAGTTGAGTTGAACCACAAGCTCTCAAGGATGGAAGCTCAGCAGGCTGCCCACTGTAAAGACTTAGCACTGCAGCCTCAGCAAGAGAAGGAAGAGGTGCTGCAGAGATATCTACTGCAAATCCACGAGGTGACAGAGCAGCATGATCTGGAGAAGGAGCGGAAGGAGGACAAAGGGAAGGAGATCCTCCCACTTTGTGGAAGGCAGCCGCTGAAGCAGCTGAAGCTGACGGGTGAGGAGGAGGTGCAACCATGCAAGTCTTCTGCCCTAGAGAAGGAGAGACTCGAGCTTGCTTGTAGGAAGCAAGTGGGAAGGCTTGTGCAGGAAGAAGACATGCTGAGGGCCTGCTTGAAGGATGGACCAGCAGTGTCAGGTGGTGACCAAGAGGGTATGGGCGGCCCCACACCCCTCTGTGCAGGCAGGAGAGAGCAGCCACTGGTGTGGCAGGAACCTGGTGCTGGGTATGGCCATGGGCAAGCTAGGTGCAGGGATGTGCCAGGCCATTACTTGTGCCATGTGGACCCCAGGCAGAGCCCAGCCCTAGACCCTGCCCTGCCCTCCAGAGAGCCCTTGGAGAACCTTTGCCTCAGAGAAGATGGTCAGGATGTACTTGACCCCAAGGAGGTGGCTTCTGCTCCCCCAGGGAGGTGGTTACAGGTGCATCAACGTGGGGTAGATGAGAGAGCAGTCCTCGAGGAGCTGGTACCTCCTGCCCTTGGCCCAGCGAGTCTGAGTCAGCCTGAAGCCCAGGAGCTGCTCTGGAAAACAGAGGGAGATGCCTCACCAGCTCAGAACCCGACACTGAGCAGAGGAGAGACTGAGAGGTGGCTGGCCATTCTTGAACAAGCTGAGAACCTGAGTGGGGGGCTGGCCCCCATGGCGAGCCAGGGGCAGGCCTTGGAGGAACAGGCCCAGTGTGGGGACAACACCCTGGAGCAGCAGCTGCAGCATAGCAGGGAAAAGGCCAAGGAAGGCACCTTGCTCTCCCACCTACACCTTGCTGGCCCCCAGGCGGCCAGGCAGGAACAGCCTGAGGTCCTGCAGGAGGAAGAGGCCAACACGGCCCTGGAGCGAGAGAAGGATGACATGAAAACCAAACTTCTACAGCTGGAATATATTGTTTGGGCTCTTGAGAAAGAAGCAGATACAAGAGAGAACAACAGGTTTGGTTTCTAAACATTCTTAGAATGCCTGGGTACACCCTCTAACCTCTCCCCTGCATGGGCTTCATCACAGCTGCTGATGAGGGTTATGTAACTCTCGGGCTTGTGCAGGGCTCATAAGCCCGGCCCTGGCCTTGGGTATCCCATAGATCACCAGATGCCCAGTGAGTGGGTGGGGGCAGAGCTGGGTCATTCGGGCAGCTCAACTGGCCTTTGTGTCCCTGCTCTTGTCCTTAGGAAGTTCTTACTGATCTCACAAAGACAAAGACAAACTGTGCTTAGAGCTCCACTTCAATTCTGGGTCACCCTCTTCCTGCTGACTTTGAGCAGGACCTACTACTTTGCTCCACCAGCACGTGTGCCAGGCACTGCCCTTGAGCTGCAAGTTCCTGTGCTTTCTGATTGGAGCAACAGAGGAGGCAGGCAGGCAGCCCTGGCACCTCCTGGGAGGCTGGAGGTGGGGTGTGAGTGCTCAGGAAGGTTCAGGATGCTGCTGCAGTTGATACCTCTCCAGGGGAAGCCTCAAGGTGAGGTGGTGTCCTGGAGATGTTGGTTTGTGGGCAAAGTGCAGAGAGCACTCAGGTGTATATCCAGGCCCTCCTCCTTCCCAGGATCCCCTGGGGGACTCAGGCTGGCACATGTTCTTTCTCAGAAGCCTAGAATTCTAGAAACTAAGCTTTTCCGGATACTGCAGCACATGGCCTTAGATGCTTTTCTGGCTCCTCAGGAGACTGACGGCTGCGCAAGAGATGATATAGATATTGGCATGCCAGGCACATCTATGTGATATGGTCAGTGCTCTGTGTGGTCCCATTAACCCCTACACAGCACACCTGTGAGGGGTCCACTTCCTGTGGAAATGGAGGCTCTGTGAAGTATTGTGTCACTTGTCCAAGTTGGTGACTTGGGTCTGTCCTGGAACATGGTTACAGGTGCAGTGAGACCTGCATTCCAGCTCAAGCACCAGCTCCTGGGTCTGTGTGACTATGGTCAGGTAGCTTCCTTGGGGAAAAAAAAAAAAAAAAAAGATGTGGGATTTATGTTAAACCAAAGGGAATAAATGTCAGTTCACCACCCAGCTGAAAAAAAATATAAGCATAGCTAGAAATCCCCTGGGCACCAGGCCTCAGGCCTCCTCATTCTTCTCAGGAGTAGCTGTCCTAAAGGGCCTGTTTATCACTTTACAAACATTGCACTCTTAGGTGGGTGTCTCGGAGCCATGTAGCACCTTGTTTGTGGTGGCCTGACTTCTAAATTTCCTCATCTATGAAGTGCACATGGTGCCGTGTCTTCAAAGGACCACAGAGTATGAAATGAGGCTGGTCTCCAGCCTTGTGGACACACCATGGGGACCTGTTCTGTGCATGAGTCCGTGGCAGGCTCCAGGCACACACAGGGCCTTGGGCATAGAAGCAACCCAGAGCCCTCACTCTCACTATGCTGTTCCTCTCAGATGCCTCCCCATGAACAGACGTGTGTGCCCACACCTGTGTTGTCCAGATTTCCCAGCCCAGTGCCGAGTGGTCTGTTGCTCACTGGCCCAAGTCCGGAAGGCTGCCCTTGTCCTTTCTCTGGTCCTCTTGGCCTCCACTCCCCAACTGTTGACTCCATAACTATAGTCACAGTTGTAGTCTCAGCAGGATCTTCACTCATTTGACAGTGTTTATGGGGCATCTTCTGTGTGGCAGTGCAGCTAGGGATTGCAGCAAGGAGCAGAACAGATGTTTTCAACTTTTAGCTCGTGAGGTAGGCACCATGCTTCATGCATGTCCCAGTGTCAGGAAGAAATATGTTACTGAATTTCAGTACACGTTTTCCAGGGACACATACACGCATGCTGAAAGCCTTGGGGAATGTATAGAAATGACCAGCCTAAATTTGAGCTGATAGTTTTCTGGGAGATGGGGGGTCGGGTCTGGGAAGGCATGGGAGGCTTGGGGCAGGAGCAGGCATGGCCCAGGTTAGAAGGCTTTGGGGAACAAGAAGATAGCTGTGCTGAGGGGAATGTAGATGGGAGCCAGCTCTTGTGGGCAGGGGAAGGGATTTGGGGGGCAGGCTACTGGGGCTTTGAGCCAGGCAGCTGTGGAAAGGTGCTCTTGGGTATCCAGGGAGACTGAGAAGAGCAGATTGCAGGGACTATGGGGTGGGTATCTAGAAGGAAATGCTGAGGCTGGCAGAGGGCAGGGGGAGGTGGCTGCTGCTGCTGTCCAGGCAAGAGGTGACAGCAGCTGGGGACCAGAGTGATGGCATCAGAGGTATAGGAAGTTGACTGGCAGGGCAGTAGAGGCCAAGTTGTTAGGCTCTAGGAGGATAGGATATGCACAGGGTGGTTGGAAATGGGCTCAGAGCAATCAGAGGACTCCCCAGAAATGCCACTGACCAAGAAGCGGGGAGCACAGGATTCAGTTACACATGAGGAGCCTGTGGTGTCTCCCACAGAGAGTGTGGAGGATGGAGAGTTGAGGAAGGATCCCACAGAGGAAGGGGAAACCAAGGGGCTGCATCTTTAGGGAAATAATCCTGGAATGAGGGAGGAACAACTGTCTCTGAAGCCCTTGAGAAGCCAGTTCACACAAAACCAGCCTGAAGAAATCTACTGGGCTCAGCAACATGCAGGTGCTCGCTGAGTGCACTAGCATCCCTCCACCCCCAATGCTGGGCCCCCAGTCCTGGCTCCTGCTCTGTGAGAGGAGGTCGGGCCCCAGCACCAGCCAAGCAACTCCCAGTGTAGTGGCCTTGTGGCCACTTGGAAGTAAACACATGGGACCACCTTCCAAACCTACAGCAGTTGTAGGCTCACAGGTTGGGCAGAACTCAGACTTGCAGGATCTTGGAGGCCCAAAGATTTGGGCCTTTATCATAAAAGAAAGCAAAGTGCAGAGTGACATGACCAGATTTGGATTGTGAAAGAATTTCTGCCAGTAGTTTAGAAAATAGCAGGAGTAATCTGAATGCCAAACAGGGTTAAATTTATCCATATTCACCTCTCCTATTGCTGTTTTGCTCTACACACACACAAATCTACACATACCCTTTTAAAATATTTTCTGAAATCATTGGAGATAATTGTAAACATTATGACTCTTTACTGCTAAATATTTCTTGTTTTGTAAGAACAAGGACACTCTCCTGCATATCCACAGTGTCATTATCACACATGGGAAATTTGGGATGAATATACTGCTTATTTAATTTGCACTCCACATCCAGATTTCGCCAGCTATTTTGGTATATTCTTTCTAGATTGTTCACTCACCCTTGATCTAATCAAGGATCAGGCCATGCATTTAGTTAATCACATCTCTTTAATATCCTTTTTATAAAAGTTTATTGAGAGAGAGAGAGAGTAGGGGAGGGACAGATTGAGAGAGAGAGAGAGAGAGAGAGAGAGAATCCCAAGCTGTTTTAATAGCACAGAGCCTGATTTGGGGCTTGATCCCACAAACCATGAGATCATGACCTGAGCCAAAATCAAGAATTGGTCGCTCAACTGACTGAGCCACCCAGGTGCCCAATATCCTTTAATCTAAGAGTGTCTCCATCTTTTTTATTAATTTTTTTGTGAATGGATGTTGACTTTTTTTAATCATAGTAAATATACACAATGTAAAATCGGCCATTTTAACTGCTTTTAAGTATATAATTTAGTGGTATTAAACATACACAACATGCAGTCATCACTGCTTTCAACTTCCAAAAATTTTTCATCATTCCAAAGGGAAACTCTCTACCTATTAAACAATAACTATTGCTAGTATTTTATGAGGATTTTAGCATCAATATTGGTAAAGGATATTGGTCTCTGGTTTTCCTGTAGTGCCTTTATCTGACTTTGATATCATAGTAATTCTGGTCCTGTAGAATGAATCAGGAATTGTCCTCTCCTCTGCAAATTTTGGAAGAGCTTGAGATGGATTTACATTTTCCTCTTTAAATGTTTGGTAGAGGGCGCCTGGGTGGCTTAGTCGGTTAAGCGTCCGACTTTCGCTTGGGTCATGATCTCGCGGTTCGTGGGTTCGAGCCCCGCGTCAGGCTCTGTGCTGACTACCAGCTCAGAGCCTGGAGCCTGTTTCAGTCTGTGACTCCCTCTCTCTCTGACCCTCCCCTGGTCACGCTGTCTCTCTCTCTCTCCTATAAATAAATAAAACATTAAAAAATTTAAAAAAATAAATAAATAAATAAATGTTTGGTAGAACTCACCAGGGAATCCTGGTAGCTCCTGGGCTTTTCTCTTACAAGTTGTTTGATTAACTAACTCAATCTCCTTACTAGTCATAGGTCCAATCTGATTTTTTGTTTCTTCATGAGTAGGTTTGGCAGATTATGTGTATCCAGGAATTTGGACATTGATTTTTTTTAAGAATTAAGACTAGGTCTGTTGCAGAATTCCTCCATTTGAATATTTGATTTTCCCCTTGGTTAGATTCCTTCTTATATCTCATGCTTTCTTTATGGAACCTTTTTCTTTCTAATGTGTAGTATTTACAAGTTCCCTTAGTGAAACTCTCTTGGAGTAAATTCTCTCAGTTTCTGTTTCTCTGAAGATATCTCAAAATTCCCTCATTTTTTAAAGCTTTTGTTTTTTTTAATTTATTTATTTTTAAAGAGTTTATTGTCAAATTGGTTTCCATATAACACCCAGTGCTCATCCCAAAAAGTGCCCTCCCCTATGCCCATCACCCTCCTTTCCCCCTCCCCCACCTCCCATCAGCCCTCAGTTTGTTCTCAGCATTCAAGAGTCTCTCATGGTTTGCCTCTCTCCCTTTCCCCCACCATTTCCCCCCTTCTTCTCCCCCATGGTCCTCCGTTAAGTTCCTCCTAATCCTTCTATACGTGCAAACATATGATATTTGTCCTTCTCTGCCTGACTTATTTTGCTAAGCATAACACCCTCAAGGTCCATCCACGTTGCTACACATGGCCAGATTTCATTCTTTCTCATTATCATGTAGTATTCCATTGTATAAATAAACCACATCTTCGTGATCCATTTGTCTGTTGATGGACACTTAGGCTCTTTCCATGTTTTGGCCTTTGTTGAGAGTGCTGCTATGAATATTGGGTACATGTGCTCCTATGCATCAGCACTCCTGTATCCCTTGGGTAAATTCCTAGCAGTGCTATTGCTGGGTCATAGGGGAGTTCTGTTGCTAATTTCTTGAGGAACCTCCATACTATTTTCCAGAGGGGTTGCACAAGTTTACATTCCCACCAACAGTGTAGGAGGGACTCCACATCCTTTCCACATCCTCGCCAGCGTCTAGAGTCTCCTGATTTGTTCATTTTAGCCACTCTGACTGGCATGAGGTGGTATCTCAGTGTGGTTTTCATTTGTATTTCCCTGATGAGGGATGCTGAGCATTGTTTCATGTGTCTGTTGGCCATCTGGATGTCCCCTTTGGAGGATATCATGTCTTCTGCCCATTTCTTCACTGGATTATTTTTTTTTCAAGTGTGGAGTTTAATGAGTTCTGTATAGATTTTGGATACTAGCCCTTTATCTGATATGTCATTTGCAACTATCTTTTCCCATTTCGTCTGTTGCCTATTAGTTTTATTAATTGTTTCCTTTGCCGTGCAGAAGCTTTTAATCTTGATGAGGTCCCAGTAGTTCATTTTTGCTCTTGATTCCCTTGCTTTTGGGGATGTGTCAAGTAAGAAATCGCTGCCGTGGAGGTCAAGGAGGTTGTTTCCTGCTTTCTCCTCTAGGGTTTTGATGGTTTCCTGTCTCACATTCAGGTCCTTTATCCATTTTTGAGTTTATTTTTGTGTATGGTATGATAAAGTGATCTAGTTCATTCTTCTGCATGTTGCTGTCCAGGTCTCTCACACCATCCATTAAAGAGGCTGTCTTTTTTTCCGTTGGACACTCTTTCCTGCTTTGTCAAAGATTAGTTAGCCATACATTTGTGGGTCCAGTTCTGAATTCTCTATTCTATTCCATTGGCCTATGTGTCTGTTTGTGTGCCAATACCATACTGTCTTGATGATGACAGCTTTGTAGTAGAGGCTAAAGTCTTGGATAGTGATGCTTCCTATTTGGTTTTCTTCTTCAATATTACTTTGGTTGTTCGGGGTCTTTTGTGGTTCCATACAAATTTTAGGATAGTTTGTTCTAGCTTTGAGAAGTATGCTGGTGCGATTTTGATTGGTATTGCATTGAATGTGTAGATTGCTTTGGGTAGTAATGACATTTTAACTATATTTATTCTTCCTATTCATGAGCATGGAATGTTTTTCCATTTCTTTGTGTCTTCTTTGATTTCCTTCATAAGTTTTCTATAGTTTTCATCATACAGATCTCCTATATCTTTTGTTAGGTTTATTCCTAGGTGTTTTATGGTTTTTTTTGTGCAATTGTGAATGGGATCAGTTTCTTGATTCTCTTTCTGTTGCTTCATTGTTGGTGTATAAAAATGCAACCGATCTCTGTACGTTGATTTTGTACCCTGCAACTTTGCTGAATTCTTGGATCAGCTCTAGTAGGCTTCTGGTGGAGTCTGTCCTGTTTTCTATGTATAGTATCATGTCATCTGTGAAGAGTGAAAGTTTGACTTCCTCTTTGCCAATTCTGATGTGTTTTATTTCCTTTTGTTGTCTGAGAGTGACATCCCTGTCGTGTTCCTGATCTCAGGGGGGAAGCTCTCAGTTTTTCCCTATTGCAGATGATGTTAGCTGAGGGCTTCTTATAGATGGCTTTTATGATGTGTAAGTATTTTTGAAAGATAGTATTCCTGGGAACACAAATCTAGATTAAAGAGGTGTTCTCTGCCCTTTGAACATATTCAATATCATCAAGATTCCACTGTTGACATTAGGTAGTCTGTTCTGTTTAGTTGTTGCTGTTTATGTGTATTAGTTTCCTATGGCTGCTGTAACAAATTACCCCAAAGTTAGTGACTTAAAACAACATAATTTATTATTTTATAGTTTTGGAGCTTAGAAGTTGGAAATGGGTATGACTGGACCAAAATTAAGATGTTGGCAGGGTTGCCTTCCTGTCTAGTGGTTATAGAAGAGAATTACTATTCTTACCTTTGTAGCTTCTGTGGGCTGCTTGCATTCCTTGTTTCTGGCCCCCTTCCATCTTTAAAGACAGTAATGACTGTCAGGTCCACCTTACATCACATCACTCTGACACCCACTCTCCTGCCCCTTTCCTTCATGTTTAAGGACACTGTGATTACATTGGACCCATCTGGATGATCCAAGATCTACAGTTGTAGCTTATTCATATGGTTCGTTGCTGTGGAGTGTTGTGTGAATATACCACAATTTACTCATTCACTTGTTGATGGGGATTTGAGTAGTGTTTAGTTTTTGGTTATCACAAATAGAACTACTAAGAAAGTTCTTGTCCATGTCTTTTGGATTTATGTTGGTGATCGGATATAGGTGTGGTTTTCTTTCTACCTGTCCTGTTTAGAAAGACATTGTGCCCACTGAATTTGTGTTTTATGAAAAACTCCTAGCCATTATTTAATTATTATTTTTCTAAGTGGACTTCATATCCAACATGAAGCCAAATGCAGGGTTTGAATTTATGATCCTGAGATCAAGATCTGAGCTGAGATCAAGAGTCAGACAATCAACTGACTGAGCCACCCAGGTGCCTCTTCCAGCCATTATTTTTAAAACATTGATTTTCTCTTGCCCTACAATTAGATGTATGATGTTAGGTCTTTTCATTTTCCCTCCATCTTTTTCCCTTCCATATCTTTTATCTTTTCTCACTTGTCTCATTCTTGGTGCTTTTTATTTTATTTTTTTTCAGAGGTGGCTTTTTCCACGTATGTTGTGGTGATCTTTGATTGTGTCCTCATGTTTACATGATGTTAATCGCTGGGAATCTGAGGAGCCATAGCAGAGGGTGCTTTCTGTAGAAAGGGTGGATATTGCTTTTGCTGAGAAAGGAGAGCCTGCTAATCTGGGGCCACTTTAACCTCTTTCTAGGGCACTAGCTTAGTGCAGGAGTCCATGCTGCTGATGGCATAGGCATTGGCCTCAGGGTAGCTCTATCTTTATATTGCTTAATACTTAAAGCTGGATTTCAGTTTCTAGGTATTTGTTTTGTTAGAGGGCCCTTGGAGGTTTCCATTACCGTCTGTGAGGACAATCACCCATTATATGATCATCTTCACACTGCTCTAATTGCGTGGTGTGGTAAGGGGGATGGGATAGGACAGCCTTCAGCTTATCTGCGGTCCAGGAAGCTTTAAGTGGGAACCGCCTCCCCCCACCCCCAACATACATCCACTGAATCAATTTGTTTTCTGTTTTGGAGCCAGAATGGCACTTTCCAAACACAGACCTCATTTGTTTCACTCCCTTGCTTGAAACCTTTTACTGCTTTAAAAATTCCAGTGACTTCTCTTTCTTTATTTTTCTCTTTAGTTTCTCATGAGATAAAATGAAGTCATATTTATGCTTATGAAGAAGGCACTTATGCTTGGTATTATAAGCATATTAACATAAAATGAACATGACAAGATCATGTGGCTTCGAGTATTTTTAGCCTAAAAAAAAATTAGAAGCTAATGCCAGATAGGGACCTATGGGGGAAATAAATGTCAACCAGACCACTATCTATTAAGAATAAATATCTTGGGCAGCACATGGGTTTTAAGCTGTCTCTTTTGTGATTTTTACTGGTAAATAAATTGCTCGTCTGTCATATGTCAGTGGTGTTATATAAGTGGAGACCTCTATGTTATCAGAAAGCAAAAATGGCTCCAGGCAGACATGGTTCATGTAGTAACTGTTCATGCTTATTTCTTTCCATTGAGGCATCCACCTTGTATCATGTCTCTCTCTATACACTGATGTGGGCATCTTCCCAGTTTCTCCTCCCTAGTGTTTGACCTCAGTGTACAATGAGGGGAGCTCTCCCTAAAGAGGAAAATGTGTTTTGGTCTTCTGATTCCTTGTGTTCCTTAGCTCTGTGCCAGAGTTCTCTGGTGAGGGATGAATATCCTTTGCCGTAACCTGAGGACCCACAGCCAGTGGTGAGCATACTGTGAGCATACTTCTATTTCAGTTAGTGGTTATAAGATGCAGTAACAGATTAGCCATAAACTTAAACAGAACCAAGGTGCTTAAATACATTAGTGAGTTGTTGATTGTGTAACTGTTTTAGAAGGTAAGAAAGCTTTATTTTCTGTAGCTTATTGCTTAGGAGATGCAAACCATGGCATGTTAGCAGTTCATAGAAAGAAGAACAGTGTGTCCTGTGCCATTAACCCGGGATGATGCAGGATCACCAAGACTTCCAGCTGCAAGACCAGACTCGTGTGGACTGCATGTGGTGACCAGCTCCTGGAGTCCCCACCTTCTTTTTTCCATTTTTTTCATGCAGAATAGAGTTGGATAGGCTTTCTGAAGAAAATACATTGTTGAAAAATGAGCTGGGAAGGATTCAGCAAGAGCTTGAAGCTGCAGAAAAGACAAATGACGCACAGAGGTAAGGGCCTGGCTCAGTCATTCTACCTAGATTCCAGTCTGCAACATGCTTTGTGTTTTGGGCAATAAGCTTAGAAGGTACTGCTGTGGAAAGTGGGAAGTTTTGACACACCAACCCAGAGTTCCAGAAAAACCACAAAGGCAAGCAATGCTGACCTCTTACCAGGCCTGATAGGTGTGGGAGGGCTCAGATCCTGTTCCAGATGTTGACAGCCATCTTCATGCCTGGGCTCCTAAGTATGAGATGGAGCATGTGCATGGGGCAGCACAGTCAGCACCACAGTGGACAGCTCTAGCTCGGGCCACTTCTCTCTGAAGTCTGTATAAGCACTTTCCACCCCTAAGTTGCTGCTCCACATCATGCCACAGAGTGGGGGTGGGAGGAGAGTGAGTATTTCTTTAGCAGTAAGAGATGCTTCTGGGGCCTTTTTGGAATCTGTTTTTTCATGTTTTGTTAATGATTTTGGTTGGGCTTCTCCACGTTTTGTGGATTTCAGTGGATTAGAATAAGGGGTAGAGGAGCGGGAACTGACGCAGGAGAAACTGTGTTTGTGGAGGGAGAAGAGCACAGAGTACCTGTCAGTAGCTTTCTGCTTTCACTACCTTAGTTTTATCCAAGCACAACTTTTGTTTGACTTTTTTTTTTTTAAGTCTGAAATTCAACATGATTAAAATATGCTATCCAGAGCAGATGGTCAACAACGGATTGCTATCATGTGATAGCATTTCTGAAATCTAAGTTTTTCCCCCTCTGGAAACTGTTGTTTTTCTAATTTGCTGCCAGGACCCATTTCCCAACAGACCCCAGCAGATACAAGGTTGTTTTGGTCCTATTTATGCTGCTTAGTGTGAATGGTCACAGGTTTTGCTAAAGAGGTATTATTGTGTGTGACTGAAGAATGTCATGGAGGGTGTTTGCTCTTATTGTGGTACTGGCAATGTTCCTCTGGCTCCGATGGTCAGAGTCCTGACTGGGTGGGCAGCGTCAGTGGTGTAGGACAGTGACAGAGCAGGTGTGAGGGTCTGTTTTGTGGCTGCAAATCCAATGCCAGGGAAAAAAAGAAACTGGCTGGTCAGTGATATTGTCAATTTTGCTTCTCTAACAGGAAGGAAATTGAAGCTTTAAAGAGAGACAACGAAAAGGCCTGCTCTGAAATGGAAGAACTCAACAAACAGGTCAGGTATTGACTCCTGCATGACGCTTAACACCACTCTCCTTTTTTCATTATTTTGAGATAATTTCAAACTTACAGGAAGGAAGGACAGAATTTTTTTCTGAAAGATCTGAGAGTGAGTTGCCAAGCCATCAGCCCCTTCCCTGGCTCCAAGGATATGAATGTGGATGCAGAAGTGCTGCCTGAGCCCCCGCCCCATTGAGCTTTGCCAGCTGTCCTTGCACCTTCAGAATCACATGGCTCCTTCAGTTGGTCCTTGGATTTTAGGACTGGGGTGCTTTTGCAGATTACAAACAGATATTTTATAGGAAATAATTCCGTTTGGTTGTCTGATGTTCCCTTGTGATTAGATTTAGATTAGGTCTCGTTGGCATAATTTGTTCCATTACTAGTTAGGTGGTATTGGCCAGGCTTCTCCACAGTAAGGTTACCTTTCCATTTGTAATGGTGAGTGTTGTATGGTAGATACTTTTTTTTTTCTTTCATAGTTTATTGTCAAGTTGGTTTCCATATAACACCCAGTGCTCATCCAACAAGTGCCCTCCTCCATGCCCATCACCCTCCTTCCCCTCCCCCGACCCCTATCAGCCCTCAGTTTGTTCACAGTATTCAAGAGTTTCTCATGGTTTGCCTCCCTCCCTCTCCCCAACTATTTTTTCCCTTTCTCCTCCCCCATGGTCTTCTTAAGTTTCTCCTGATCCACTTATAAGTAAAAACATATGGTATCTGTCTTTCTCTGCCTGACTTATTTCACTCAGCATAACATGTATGGTAGATACTTTAATATTATGTACAATATGTAATTTACATAATATTCCCTATCAAACTCTTATACCCTTATTTTATTTCTTGCTTTGATGAAGGCCAGGTGGTAACTAATTCCACCATTCCTTTTATATTTATTGGGTTTTTAAAAATTTTTTTTAACATTTATTTTTGAGACAGAGAAAGACAGAGCATGAGCTGGGAAGGCGCAGAGAGAGAGGGAGACACAGAATCTGAAACAGGCTCCAAGCTCTGAGCTGTCAGCACAGAGCCCAACGCGGGGCTCGAACCCCTTGGACCAGGAGAGATCATGACCTGAGCCGAAGTCGGACACTTAACCGACTGAGCCACCCAGGTGCCCCTTATTGGTATTTTAAATGTGTAAGGAAGAGCTTTCTTTTCTGTTCACTTATTTATTCATTACATCATCATATTACTATCCAAGCTCCTGTTTTACTCAATGGGTTATAATTCATTACCATCAGTATTTATTTTTGTGCTCAAATTGTCTCAGATTTGGCTAATGAGAGCCCCTTCACAGTGGTTTCTGGTTCTCCAGATGAACGTTGATCGTTTTTTGAACACTTCTTTACTTTCTGGTACCCTTGGATATTCCAGGTTCATCTAATACTTCTCTTGCCTGAGCTCTGTGATCAGCTACTCCCCCAAGGAGCTTCTGGTGACCATTAGTGTAGAATAGTGTTTGGATACTAAGACCTGAGCATCCAGATTGCCCACTGCTCCTGGGACATCACTACTTCCAGGCATAGTTAGTGGATAGAGTTAGGGAGTGTGTATGTACTTAGAGTTTCATGAATGAATCTGCATATAGTTCATGAACAATATTTATTTATATATCTCTCTCTATTGAAAATCATAAATTCAAACCCATATATGCAGTTTCTACCTAATATCTTAGGATGATCCTAATTTCTCCCTTTCCATATTCGTAGCTTATATCTCCAACAGTGAGAATCCTGGTTGTATCCTCAGAAGATCTACTTACTGTTGATTAATCTCCCTTACCCCATGCATAAATGCCCTTCCTGCTCTGTTTCAGCACTGACCCTACACTGGTCCTCTTTCTGCTCCCTTAACACAGATGCTTTTCTTACTTGGTCTCCTTTACTGGCATTTGGGTGGATTATTAAGGAGAAAGCACACAAGCTGGGGTGTGTCATTCTTGGTTTTTTTAATTCTTTTTTAATTGATACCGTTATTGATAATTATAGACTCACATAGTTATAAGAAATATAGCAAAATCCTTTATACACTTTGATCAGTTTCCCCCAATGGTAACATTTTTTAAAAAGTTTTTATTTAAATTTCACTTAGTTAACATACAGTGTAATACTAGTTTCAGGTTTACAATGTAGTGATTCATCACTTAAATACAGCACCCAGTGCTCATCATGATAAGTGCAGTCCTAAATCCCCATCGCCTGTTTCACCCATCCCCCCACTCACCTCCATTCTGGTAACCATCAGTTCTCAATAGTTAAGAGTCTCTTTCTTAGTTTGCCTCTCTCTTTTTTTCTCTATTCACCTTTGTTTTGTTACTTAAATTTTTTTAATGTTTTATTTATTTTTGAGAGACAGAGACAGAGTGTGAGTGGGGGAGGGCTAGAAAGAGGGGGACACCGAATCTGAAGCAGGCTCCAGGCTCTGGGCTGTTGGCACAGAGCCTAACACAGGGCTCAAACCCACGAACTGTGAGATCATGACCTGAGCCAAAGTAGGACAATTAACCAACTGAGCCACCCAGGCACCCCTTCTTTGTTTTGTTTCTTAAATTGCACATGAGTGAAATCATATGGTATTTGCTTTTCTACAGTTTATTTCGCTTAGCATTATACTCTCTAGCCCCATCTCAGTCATAATAAAAAATAAAATGGAAAGATTTTATTCTTTTTTATGGCTGAATAATATTCCGGTGTGTGTGTGTGTGTGTGTGTGTGTGTGTGTGTGTGTACTTACATACATACACTCCACATCCTCTTTATCCACTCATCAGTTACTGACACTTGAGCTAGTTCCATAATGTGGCTATTGTAGATAATGCTGCCATAAACATTGGAGTGTATATATACTGTTGAATTAGTATTTTTAGTATGTATGCCATTGAATTAGTTTTCTGTGGATAAATGTCTAGTAGTGTGACTGCTGGATTATAGGGTAGTTCTATTTTTAACTTTCTGAAGAACTGCAATACTCTTCTTCAGACTGGCTGCACCAGTTTGCATTCCCACCAACAGTACAAGAGCTCTCCACTTTCTCCACATCCTCGCCAATGCCTGTTGTTTCTTGTGTTATGATTTTAGCCATTCTGACAGGTGTGAGGTGATATCTCATTATAGTTTTGATTTGTATTTCCCTGGTAATGAGTGATGTTAATCCTCTTTTCTTGTGTCTGTCGGCCATCTGGATGTCTTCTTTGGAAAATGGTCTATTCACTGGTCTTCCCATTTTTTAAATTGAATTATTGGTTTTTTGGGTGTTGAGTTTGATAAGTTCTTTATAGATTTTGGATACTAACCTTTTATTGGATATTTCATTTGCAATATCTTCTCCCATTCCATAGGCTGCCTTTTATTTTGTTGATTGTTTCCTTCATTCTATAGAAGCTTTTTACTTTGATGAAATCCCAATAGTTTATTTTGGCTTTTGTTTCCCTTGCCTCAGGAGGCATATTTAGAAAGAAGTTGCTGTGACTGATCTCAGAGACATTACTGTCTATGCTGTCTTCTAGGATCTTTCTGGTTTCAGGTCTCACATTTAGGTCATTAATCCATTTTCAGTATAATTTGTTGTATGCTGAAAGAAAGTAGTTCAGTTTCATTCTTCTGCATGTCGCTGTCCTGTTTTCCCAGCACCTTTTGTTGAAGAGACTGTCTCTTTCCCGATGGATAATCTTTCCTGCTTTGTTGAAGATTAATTGACCATATAGTTATGGTTCATTTCTGGGTTTTCTATTGTGTTCTATAGATCATTGTGTCTATTTTTGTGACAGTACCAAACTGTTTTGATTCCTACAGCTTTGTAATATAACTTAAAGTCCAGGATTGTGATGCATGCAGCTTTTCTTTTCTTTTTCAGGATTGCTTTGGCTATCCTGGGACTTTCTGTGGTTCCATACAAATTTTAGACTTGCTTATTCTAGTTCTGCGAAAAATGCTGTTGGTATTTGGAAAGGAATTGTATTAAATGGGTAGATTGCTTTTGGTAGCATAGACATTTTAGCAATATTTGTTCTTCTAACTCATGCTCATGGAAGTCTTTCCACTTCTTTGTGTCATTTTCAGTTCTTTCATCAGTGTTTTATTTTATAGTCTTTCAGCTCTTTGGTTAGGTTTATTCCTAGATATCTTATTTTCTTTGTATAATTATAAATGGGATTGATTCCTTAATTTCTTTCTTCTCCTTCACTATTGATGTATAAAATACAACAGATTTCTGTGCATTGATTTTGTATCCTGTAACTTTATAGAATTCTTTTATCAATTCTAGCAGGTTTTTTTGGTGGAGTCTTTCAGGGTTTCTCTGTATAGTATCATGTCATCTGCGTATGGTGAAACTTTCACCTCTTCCTTGCCAATTTGGATTCTTTTTATTTCTTTTTGTTGTCTGATTGCTATGACTAGGACTTCTAGTACTATGTGGAATAAAAGTAGTGTAAATGGACATTCCTGTCTTATTCCTGACCAGAGAGGAAAAGCTCTCAGTTTTCAAATCCCATTGAATGTTGCTAGCTCTGGATTTTTCATATATGGCCTTTATCATGTTGAGGTATATTTCCTCTAAACCTACTGTGTTGAGGATTTTTATCATGAATGGATGTTGTACTTTATCAAATGCTTTTTCTGCACCTATTGTAATGATCATATGGTTCTTACCCTTTCTTTTATTAATGCAATGTGCCGCATTTGCATTAATTTGCAAATTTGCAAATATTGAACCAGCCCTGCAACCCAGGAATAAACCCCACTTGATCATGGTGGTTTATTCTTTTAATGTATTGTTGGATTTGTTTTGCTAGCGTTTTGTTGAGAATTTTTACATCCATGTTCATCAGAGAAATAAGCCTGGATTTCTCTTTTTTGGTGGAGTCTTTGGTTTTGGTATCAGGGTAATGCTAACCACACAGAATGAATTTGGAAGTTTCCCTCCCTTTTCTAGTTTTTTGAATAGTTTGAGAAGAATAGGTATTAACTATTCTTTAAATGTTCAGTAGAATTG